CCAGCGTTGTCTTGGCTGTGTGCTTAGGGTCGTTGTCCTGTTGGAAGATGAACCTTCACCCCAGTCTGAGGACCTGAGCGCTCTGGAGCAGGTTTTCTCAAGGATCGCTCTGTACTTTGTGCCATTCATCTTTTCCTCGACCCTGACTAGTCTCCCAGTCCCTGCTGCTGAAAAACATCCCCCACAGCCTGATGCTGCCACCACCATGCTTCACCGTAGGGATGGTGCCAGGTTTCCTCCAGACGTGAGGCTTGGCATTCAGGCCAAAGAATTCAATCTTGGTTTCATCAGACCAGAGAATCTTGTTTCTCATGGTCTGAGAGTCTTTAAGGTGCCTTTTGGCAAACTGCAAGCGGGCTGTCATGTGCCTTTTACTGAGGAGTGGCTTCCGTTTGACCACTCTCCCATAAAGGCCTGATTGGTGGAGTGCTGCAGAGATGGTTGTCCTTCTGGAAGCTTCTCCCATCTCCACAGAGGAACTCTAGAGCTCTGTCAGAGTGACCATCGTGTTCTTGTTCACCTTCCTGACCAAGGACCTTCTCCCCCGATTGCTCAGTTTGGCCGGGCGGCCAGCTGTAGTAAGAGTCTTGGTGGTTCTAAAATTCTTCAATTTAAGAATGATGGAGGCCACTGTGTTCTTGGGGATCTTCAACGCTGCAGAAATGTTTTGGTACACTTCCCTAGATCAGGGCCTCGACACAATCCTGTCTCGGTGCTCTACGGACAATTCCTTCGACCTCATGGGTTGGTTTTTGCTCTGACATGCCCTGTCAACTGTGGGACCTTATTTAGACAGGTGTGTACCTTTCCAAATCATGTCCAATCATTTGAATTTACCTCAGGTGAACTCCAATCAAGTTGTAGAAACATCTCAGGGATTGATCAATGGAAACAGGATGCACCTGAGCTCAATTTCGAGTCTCATAGCAAAGGGTCTGAATACTTATGTGAATAAGGTATTTCTGTTTTTTATTTTTAATAAATTTGCAAACCTTTCTAAAAACCTGTTTTTGCTTTGTCATTATGGGGTATTGTGTGTAGTTTGATGAGGGGAAAAAACAATTTAATCAATTTTAGAATAAGCATGTAACGTAACAAAATGTGGAAAAAGTCAACAGGTCTGAATAATTTCCGAATGCACTGTATACTTTCATAATTTTTTTAAACTGGTACCGGAGGACCTTCAGGCGAGTCTTGTGAGGCCTGTGAGCGTCCTAGAGCAAAACAACCAACATGTACAGTACAAGTCAAAAGTTTGGACACACCTACTCATTCAAGGGTTTTTCTTAATTTTTACTACACTGCTCAAAAAAATAAAGGGAACACTTAAACAACACAATGTAACTCCAAGTCAATCACACTTCTGTGAAATCAAACTGTCCACTTAGGAAGCAACACTGATTGACAATCAATTTCACATGCTGTTGTGCAAATGAAATAGGCAACAGGTGGAAATTATAGGCAATTAGCAAGACACCCCCAATAAAGGAGTGGTTCTGCAGGTGGTGACCACAGACCACTTCTCAGTTCCTATGCTTCTTGGCTGATGTTTTGGTCACTTTTGAATGCTGGCGGTGCTTTCACTCTAGTGGTAGCATGAGACGGAGTCTACAACCCACACAAGTGGCTCAGGTAGTGCAGCTCATCCAGGATGGCACATCAATGCGAGCTGTGGCAAGAAGGTTTGCTGTGTCTGTCAGCGTAGTGTCCAGAGCATGGAGGCGCTACCAGGAGACAGGCCAGTACATCAGGAGATGTGGAGGAGGCCGTAGGAGGGCAACAACCCAGCAGCAGGACCGCTACCTCCGCCTTTGTGCAAGGAGGAGCAGGAGGAGCACTGCCAGAGCCCTGCAAAATGACCTCCAGCAGGCCACAAATGTGCATGTGTCTGCTCAAACGGTCAGAAACAGACTCCATGAGGGTGGTATGAGGGCCCGACGTCCACAGGTGGGGGTTGTGCTTACAGCTCAACACCGTGCAGGACGTTTGGCATTTGCCAGAGAACACCAAGATTGGCAAATTCGCCACTGGCGCCCTGTGCTCTTCACAGATGAAAGCAGGTTCACACTGAGCACAAGTGACAGACGTGACAGAGTCTGGAGACGCCGTGGAGAACATTCTGCTGCCTGCAACATCCTCCAGCATGACCGGTTTGGCGGTGGGTCAGTCATGGTGTGGGGTGGCATTTCTTTGGGGGGCCGCACAGCCCTCCATGTGCTCGCCAGAGGTAGCCTGACTGCCATTAGGTACCGAGATGAGATCCTCAGACCCCTTGTGAGACCATATGCTGGTGCGGTTGGCCCTGGGTTCCTCCTAATGCAAGACAATGCTAGACCTCATGTGGCTGGAGTGTGTCAGCAGTTCCTGCAAGAGGAAGGCATTGATGCTATGGACTGGCCCGCCCGTTCCCCAGACCTGAATCCAATTGAGCACATCTGGGACATCATGTCTCGCTCCATCCACCTACGCCACGTTGCACCACAGACTGTCCAGGAGTTGGCGGATGCTTTAGTCCAGGTCTGGGAGGAGATCCCTCAGGAGACCATCCGCCACCTCATCAGGAGCATGCCCAGGCGTTGTAGGGAGGTCATACAGGCACGTGGAGGTCACACACACTACTGAGCCTCATTTTGACTTGTTTTAAGGACATTACATCAAAGTTGGATCAGCCTGTAGTGTGGTTTTCCACTTTAATTTTGAGTGTGACTCCAAATCCAGACCGCCATGGGTTGATACATTTGATTTTCATTGATAATTTTTGTGTGATTTTGTTGTCAGCACATTCAACTATGTAAAGAAAAAAGTATTTAATAAGATTATTGCATTCATTCAGATCTAGGATGTGTTATTTTAGTGTTCCCTTTATTTTTTTGAGCAGTGTATTTTCTACATTGTAGAATAATAGTGAAGACATCAAAACCATGAAATAACACATATGGAATCATGTAGTAACCCAAAAAGTGTTAAACAAATCAAAATATATTTTATATTTGAGATTCTTTGCACACTCTTGGCATTCTCTCAACTAGCTTCACATGGAATGCTTTTCCAACAGTCTTGAAGGAGTTCCCACATATGCTGAGCACTTGTTGGCTGCTTTTCCTTCACTCTGCGGTCCAACTCATCCCAAACCATCTCAATTGGGTTGAGGTCGGGTGATTGTGGAGGCCAGGTTTTCTGATGCAACACTCAATCACTCTCCTTCTTGGTCAAATAGCCCTTACACAGCCTGGAGGTGTGTTGGGTCATTGTCCTGTTGAAAAACAAATGATAGTCCCACTAAGCCCGAACCAGATGGGATGGTGTATCGCTGCAGAATGCTGTGGTAGCCATGCGGGTTAAGTGTGCCTTGAATTCTAAACAAATCATTGACAGTGCCACCAGCAAAGCACCCCTACACCATCACACCTCCTCCTCCATGTTTCACAGTGGGAACGACACATGCAGAGATTATCCGTTCACCTACTCTGTCTCACAAAGACACGACGGTTGGAACCAAAAATCTCAAATTTGGACTCATCAGACCAAAGGACAGATTTCCACTGATCTTATGTCCATTGCTCGTGTTTCTTGGCCCAAGCAAGTCTCTTCATCTTATTGGTGTCCTTTAGTAGTGGTTTCTTTGCAGTAATTCAACCATGAAGGCCTGATTCACGCAGTCTCCTCTGAACAGTCAATGTTGAGATCTGTCTGTTACTTGAACTCTGTGAAGCATTTATTTAGTTAACTCTAATGAACTTATCCTCTGCAGCAGAGGTAACTCTGGGTCTTCCTTTCCTGTGGCGGTCCTCATGAGAGCCAGTTTCATCATAACACTTGATGGTTTTTGTGACCGCACTTGTAGAAACGTTCAAAGTTCTTGAAATGTTCCTGATTGACTGACCTTCATGTCTTAAAGTAATGATGGACTGTCGTTTCTCTTTGCTTATTCGAGCTGTTCTTGCCATAATATGGACTTGGTCTTTCACCAAATAGGGCTATCTTCTGTATACCACCCTTACCTTGTAACAACACAACTGATTGGCACAAACGCATTAAGAAGGAAAGAAATTCCACAAATCAACTTTTAACAAGGCACACCTGTTAATTGAAATGCATTCCAGGTGACTACCTCATGAAGCTGGTTGAGAGAATGCCAAGAGTGTGCAAAGCTGTCATTAAGGCAAAGGGTGGTACTTTGAAGAATCTCAAATATAAAATATATTTTGATTTGTTTAACACTTTTTTGGTTAATACATGATTCCATATGTGTTATTTCATAGTTTTGATGGCTTCACTATTATTCTACAATGTAGAAAATAGTAAAAATAAAGAAAAACCCTGGAATGAGTAGGTGTGTCCAAACTTTTGACTGGTACTGTACGTGTTCGTGAGAGTCTCGCTTTTCCACAGAGGGGTCATTTTAGTTGGTACGCTACACACAGAAATTGGCAGATTTGCTGTACCGACTTCAGACGAGTCCCAAGACGCTTGTGGGGGTCGAAGAGCAAAACGGAGAACACCATCGTGTTCATGAGAGTCTCATCTTTCCATAGTGGGTCATAGTTTGTAGGCCAAACCGTTCAGAAGCTACAGACGATTATGTGAGAAGACCGATTTTCGGGATGTCTCATGGCCTGATAAACACGTCTTTGGCTCTGTCACCTTTCACCGCAGATGCGTAAGTGCGACATTGGCAGATGCGGTGGATTGAGACGCATCCAGAGCAAAAAAACAAATATCTATAGCTTAAACTAACAGATTTGTATGGGGATTTGTTAAATTATGCTAATTAGATTTCCACGGGGGGGCGCGGACATCGACTCTAGGGGGTTTTAACAGGATATTACATGTGTACCGTTACACCCCTACTACTCACTACCATTAGATACACTAAAGTCACACACAGTACAGAACACAGGGCACAGATACACAGTCACACACAATGTTAGAGCCATACAATGAAAACTGTTTAAAAAATATATTTTTTTATAACACATTTTTTTACTACAACCTTACCCTACCTGCATGTTTGCAGAGTCCATGAGAGACTTGTTGGTGAAGAACTTTCTGAACGTCTGTAGATCAATAAAATCAATCATATACAAATTCTGTTCAAAGAACATGCTGTATTAACTGTGTGAGAATGTGTGTGTGTGTGTGTGTGTGTCAGTAGTACCACATGTTTCTCTATGCCGCTGTAACATCCATGGGGCAGTGGGATCTCCTCTCCCTGAGTCATCTGGGATGTCTCCTTCATGGCCTGACAGTACTGCCCCAGCTCTGTCAGCACCTTCACCTGCACACAGTAGAAATACACATATCCTAACGGGCACACACATACACAGTACATACAGTGGAATCACATGTAACTCAGGTATTCATACCAACCTTCAGTATCCTTCCTTTAATGGTGAGGTGTGGGTCTCGGCACACAGTCCCCACAAAATGCAGGTAGAGAGCCAGCATAGGCAGGGCCTGTAACAGCAGAACACAGAGTCATGGAAACCAATAGCTAACTTTCTTGAGATGGCTACTAAACTCCCTGGTCAGATGCTTGGTTAATTCAAAATCAAAAAGAAGAATACATTGCCAGTCATGCCTCATAAGTAGTGCACTAAATAGAAAATAGCCATTTCAGATGCAGTCTGTGTATGTACTGTGAGATGGTGTCCTGAGGTGTAGAGCCAGTGGCAGAGGAAGTCCAGGCTGGACACAGTGGTTCCCAGGTGTCCTCGGTCCGGTTCAGAGAACAGGTCCAGACCAGGAACCAGCTCCTCTCCTACAGTATAGGATGAGTACTGCAGGTCACTCTGTGGGTGGGGCAGGGAGGCACGCAGGAGACACTGGTGGAATAGACACACACAGGACATGACTAACTACACCGGTGGTCACCCTGGTCCAGGAGACATACAGGGTGGGCAGGCTTTTGTTCCAGCCAAGCACTAATCTAATTCAACTAATCATGGTATTGATCAAGTTTATTAGATGAACAAGATGTGCTAGTACAAACACAACATGTTAAACACAGACAATACCTTGAAAAGCTGGGCAGATAGGAGGCAGCATTTTGTGCGCTGACTGATATTAGAGGTCAAGGCATACCTGTTGGTCAAAACATAATGAGGTCACGGTGACATCAGACCCCTTGACTTTTTCCACATTTCGTTACGTTACAGCCTTATTCTAAAATTGATTAAATAGTTTTTTCCCTCATCAATCTACACACAATACCCCATAATGACAAAGCAAAAACAGGTTTATTGAAAACCTTCACCCCAGTCTGAGGTCCTGAGCGCTCTGGAGCAGGCTTTCATCAAGGATCTCTCTGTACTTTGCTCCGTTCATCTTTCCCTCGATCCTGACTAGTCTCTCAGTACCTGCCGCTGAAAAACATCCCCACAGCATGATGCTTCCACCAACATGCTTCACCGTAGGGATGGTGGCAGGTTTCCTCCAGACGTGAGGCTTAGGATTCAGGCCAAAGAGTTCATTCTTGGTTTCATCAGACCAGAATCTTGTTTGGTCTGAGAGTACTTTAGGTGCCTTTCGGCACACTCCAAGCGGGCTGTCATGTGGCTTCCGTCTGGCCACTCCACCATAAAGGCCTGATTGGTGGAGTGCTGCAGAGATGGTTGTCCTTCTGCAAGGTTCTACATTTACATTTACATTTTAGTCATTTAGCAGACGCTCTTATCCAGAGCGACTTACAGTTAGTCACATTATTATTATACTTAAAAAAAAATGTCATACCCCCTGTGGGAATCGAACCCACAACCCTGGCGTTGCAAACGCCATGCTCTATCAACTGAGCTACATCCCTGCCGGCCATTCCCTCCCCTACCCTGGACGATGCTGGGCCAATTGCGCGCCGCCCCATGGGTCTCCCGGTCGCGGCCGGCTACGACAGAGCCTGGATTCGAACCAGGATCTCTAGTGGCACAGCTAGCACTGCGATGCAGTGCCTTAGACCACTGCGCCACTCGGGAGCAGTTCTCCCATCATCGGGTTCTTGGTCACCTCCCTGACCAATGCCATTCTACCCCAATTGCTCAGTGTGGCCGGGCGGCCAGCTCTAGGAAGAGTCTTGGTGGTTCCAAATGTCTTCCATTTAAGAATGATGGAGGCCACTGTGTTCTTGGGGACCTTCAATGCTGCAGAAATGTTTTGGTACCCTTCCCCAGATCTGTGCCTCGACACAATCCTGTCTCGGAGCTCTACGGACAATTCCTTCGACCTCATGCCTTGGTTTTTGCTCTGACATGCACTGTCAACTGTGGGACCTTTTAAAGACAGGTGTGTGCCTTCCCAAATCATGTCCAATCAATTGAATTTACCACAGGTGGACTCCAATCAAGTTGTAGAAACATCAAGGATGATCAATAGAAACAGGATGCACCTGAGCTCAATTTCGAGTCTCATAGTCTGAATACTTATGTAAATAAAGTATTTCAGTTTTTTTATTTTGTGTGTTGATTGATGAGGATTTTTATTTATTTAATCCAGTTTAGAATAAGGCTGTAATGTAACAAAATGTGGAAAAAGTCAAGGGGTCTGAATACTTTCCAAATGCACCGTATACTGTACTTAGCTACTAAAGTTGGTACAAACTTTACTCAGAGACTCACTGTGCGATCTTAGCGGTCAGTAAAGCTCCCTGCAGACAGCCCCAGACTCCAGCCTGCCTCAGGGTGGGTTGGTGTTGGAGGGAACCTGTACCCCACGACACCCCGTCCCATGAGTCTAGCACCCCAGAGCTCTGCAGGGCACAGTCCACTGCCTGGCTCCAGTAGAAATTAGCTGCCCTTGGGTTACAAGCAGAATCACACAGAATCAGAAAAAACGTTGGTATTTAACAATTTTGTATATAATCATGTAGACATACAAATTAAACACAATACAAATAGTACTGTACATTATGAGTACGGTCTTATCTTACCTTCTGTTTCCATTATAATAGTGCAGGTTTCCCAGGTCATGTAGAGCCTGTACCCTGAGAGAGTCATGGTTGTTGGCCTGAAGGTATTCTAGATTGAGGTAAAAAATCATCATTACATTTTTTTTTTTTTTTTTAAACACACCCAGAAACAAATATCCAGCACAATCAGACAGATCAATCACAAGCATTTTTTTGCGGATACAAGTGGAATATGGGTCTGATGACAGTTACTGGTTTTGTGAGGCTAACGGGTAGACTAGTGAACAGCAATAGAGTGGTGAAGAGTAACAGCGTGACCTTGACTATAGCTATGTTAGTGGCACAGCGGTCTAAGGCACTGCATCGCAGTGCTGAGGCGCCACTACTGCCTGGGGCTGTGTCCCAGCCGGCCGTGACCAGGAGCCTCATAGGGTGCCGCACAATTGGCCCAGCGTCGTCCGGGTTAGGGGAGGGTTTGGCCTGGGGGGCTTCCTTGGCTCATCGCGCTCTAGCAACTCTTGTGACGGGTCGGATGCCTGCAAGCTGACTTCGGTCGTCAGTCGAACAGTGTTTCCTCTGACATATTGGTATGGCCGACTTACGGGTTAAGCGAGCAGTGTGTTAAGAAGCAGCGCAGTGTTGTGGGTTATGTTTCGGAGGACGCATGTCTTGACCTTTGAGCCCGCTGCAGCAATGAGACAAGGTCGTAAACTACCAATTGGATATCACAAAAATGTGGCAAAAAATAAGTGATATATGGGTAATGTCTCTTACGTATGGAGTTGCTATAGGAGTTGATGATGGTGTGTATCTGGTTGGGGGCCAGAGGGCAGCCGTAGACAGAACTCAGGGTGCTGTAGTCCTCAGTGGTCAGGTCTGGAGGGCCGATGGACGGGGCAGTGCACACCGTCACGTTAAAGTCCACCCTGCCATGACCCTGAGCCTGGCTACTGTTCTCCTTACAGAATGGAACCTCAAACACTGGCACAAAGACACAGATGTCAGTTTCATAGGCATAGTTTCAAGCATGCAGTGAAATCAGTTAAGACAAAGAATACTTTTCCACAAAAATAGTGTAGCAACTGTAAATTGTCTTCATTAGGATTTGGTAAGCTGAGAACCTGGTGTATAATTTACGCTAATTTATATACACTGAGTGTACAAAACATTAGGGACACCTTCCTAATACTGACTTGCACCACCTTTTGCCCTCAGAACAGCCTCAATTTGTTGGGGCATGGACTCTACAAGGTGTCAAAAGCGTTCCAAAAGGATGCTGGCCCATGTTGAGTCCAATGCTTCCCACAGCTGTGTCAAGTTGGCTGGATGTCCTTTGTGTGGTGGACCATTCTTGATACACACGGGAAACTGTTGAGCATGAAAAACCCTGCAGCATTGCAGATCTTGACACAAAACAGTGAGCCTGGCAACTACTACCATACCCCGTTCAAAGGCACTTAAATGTTTTGTCTTGCCCATTCACCCTCTGAATGGCACACATACAGTGCATTCGGAAAGTATTCAGACCCCTTGACTTTTTCCACTTTTTGTTATGTTACAGCCTTATTCTAAAATTGATTAAATTGTTTCCCCCCCCCTCATCAATCTACACACAATACCCCATAATGACAAAGCAAAAACTGGTTTTTAGAAATAAAATCAAAAATTAGAAAAATGAAATATTACATTTACATAAGTATTCAGACCCTTTACTCTGTACTTTGTTGAAGAACCTTTGGCAGAGATTACAGCCTCGAGTCTTCTTGGGTATGACGCTACAAGCTTGGCACACCTGTATTTGGGGAGTTTCTCCCATTTATCTCTGCAGACTTGACCCGAAGCCACTCCTGCGTTGTCTTGGCTGTGTCCTTAAGGTCGTTGTCCTGTTGGAAGTTGAACCTTCACCCCAGTCTGAGGTCCTGAGTGCTCTGGAGCAGGTTTTCATCAAGGATCTCCTCTCTGTACTTTGCTCTGTTCATATTTTCCTCGATCCTGACTAGTCTCACAGTCCCTGCCACTGAAAAACATCCCCACAGCATGATGCTGCCACCACCATGCTTCACCGTATGGATGGTGCCAGGTTTCCTCCAGACGTGACTCTTGGCATTCAGGCCAAAGAGTTCAATCTTGGTTTTATCAGACCAGAGAATCTTGTTCTCATGGTCTGAGAGTCTTTAGGTGCCTTTTGGCAAACTGCAAGCAGGCTTTCATGTGCCTTTTACTGAGGAGTGGCTTCCGTCTAGCCACACTCCCATAAAGGCCTGATTGATGGAGTGCTGCAGAGATGGTTGTCCTTCTGGAAGGTTCTCCCATCCCCACAGCGGAATTCTGGAGCTCTGTCAGAGTGACCATCTCGTTCTTGGTCACCTCCCTGACCAAGGCCCGTCTCCCCCGATTGCTCAGTTTGGCCGGGCGGCCAGCTCTAGGAAGAGTCTTGGTGGTTCCAAACTTCTTCCATTTAAGAATGATAAAGGCCACTGTGTTCTTGGGGAACTGCAATGCTACGGAAATGTTTTGGTCCCTTCCCCAGACCTGTGCCTCGACACAATCCTGTCTCTGACTTCTACGGACAATTCCTTCAACCTCATGGCTTGGTTTTTGCTCTGACATGCACTGTAAACTGTGGGACCTTATATAGACAGGTGTGTGCCTTTCCAAATCATGTCCAATCCATTGAATTTACCACAGGTAGAAACATCTCAAGGATGATCAATGGAAACAGGATGCACCTGAGCTACATTTTGAGTCTCCTATTAAAGGGTCGGAATACTTATGTAAATAAGGTATGTCTTTTGTTTATATTTAATGCATCTGCAAAAATTTCTAAAAACCTGTTTTCACTTTGTGAATATGGGGTATTGTGTGTAGATTGATGACGACATTTTTTTATTTTATCCATTTTAGAATAAGGCTATAACGTAACAAAATGTGGAAAAAGGGAAGGTGTCTGAAAACTTTCCGAATGCACTGTACACAATCCATGTCTCAATTGTGACTCATTTCAGGAAACTTTTTTTTATCAAAATACGTTTTTTGGCAGAAATGCCTTCTGGAATATGTGAACTTTCATGTGCCTTAATAACAAACGTGTATGCCATCTCTAAATAAGAATCAAATGGTAAAATCATGAGCCTAGATGGTTTAACCACTGAAAAAGACAGGAACCTTCCCGCTAGCCATGATTGGCTGAGATAATGGATGGGCTCGACATACCGAGAGATGAGTTCGGATTGATCTGCCATGTAGCATGCTTCCGTCTATAACATAAGACTCAGTATGTGTAGGTCATTCGTATGTGTAGGTCCTTCTTTCTAACGTGGCTTTAAAAAAAAGATAATACAAAAAGGACTGAGTTTTCAAATCAGTGGAATGCCTGGTGGAAGCAGAGTATGATACTTAAGGAGATGGAGAAAATGCAGGCGTTTGATTGCAAATGCGGAGGAAGTGGAAAAGAGAACACAGAAGGCTGTTGTATAAAACACCTGTCTCCGGATTACATCTTCAAACTAAAGGCAACCATGGCATCCGTGACAGAGAGGGAGAAGCGTTCATCCATGTACAGTGCCTTGCAAAAGTATTCATCCCCCTTGGCGTTTTTCCTATTTTGTTGCATTACAACCTGTAATTTAAATTGATTTTTATTTGGATTTCATGTAATGGAGATACACAAAATAGTCCAAATTGGTGAAATGAAATGAAAAAAATTACTTGTTTCAAAAATTCTAAAAAATAAATAATGGAAAAGGGGTGCGTGTATATGTATTCACCCCCTTTGCTATGAAGCCCCTAAATACGATCTGGTGCAACCAATTACCTTCAGAAGTCACATAATTAGTTAAATAAAGTCCACCTGTGTGCAATCTAATTGTCACATGATCTCATACACCTGTTCTGAAAGGCCCCAGAGTCTGCAACACCACTAAGCAAGGGGCACCACCAAGCAAGCGGCACCATGAAGACCAAAGGAGCTCTCCAAACTGGTCAGGGACAAAGTACAGATCAGGGTTGGGTTATTTTACATTTTTACATTTTAGTCATTTAGCAGACGCTCTTATCCAGAGTGACTTACAGTTAGTGAGTGCATACATTTTTCATACTGGCGTTGCATACTGGTGTTGCAAGCGCCATGCTCTACCCACAGAGCACCATTAAATCCATTATTAAAAAATGGAAAGAATATGGCACCGCAACAAACCTGCCAAGAGAGGGCCGCCCACCAAAACTCACGGACCAGGCAAGGAGGTCATTAATCAGAGAGGCAACAAAGAGACCAAACATAACCCTGAAGGAGCTGCAAAGCTCCACAGAAGAGATTGGATTATCTGTCCATAGGACCACTTTAAGCCATACACTCCACAGAGCTGGGCTTTACAGAAGAGTGGCCAGAAAAAAGCCATTGCTTAAAGAAAAAAATAAGCAAACTCGTTTGTTGTTCGCCAAAAGGCATGTGGGAGGTACTGTGGTCAGATGAGACTAAAATTTAGCTTTTTGGCCATCAAGGAAAACACTATGTCTGGCGCAAACCCAACACCTCTCATCACCCCGAGAACATCATACCCACAGTGAAGCATGGTGGTGGCAGCATCATGCTGTGGGGATGTTTTTCATCGGCAGGGACTGGGAAACTGGTCAGAATTTAAGGAATGATGGATGGCGCTAAATACGGGGAAATTCTTGAGGGAAACCTGTTTCAGTTTTCCAGAGATTTAAGACTGGGATGGAGGTTCACCTTCCAGCAGGACAATGACCCTATGCATACTGCTAAAGCAACACTCGAGTGGTTTAAGGGGAAACATTTAAATGTCTTGGAATGGCCTAGTCAAAGCCCAGACCTCAATCCAATTGAGAATCTGTGGTATGACTTAAAGATTGCTGTACAGCAGCTCCTTGAAGGAGCTGGAGCAGTTTTGCCTTGAAGAATGGGCAAAAATCCCAGTGGCTAGATGTGCCAAGCTTATAGAAACATATCCCAAGAGACTTGCAGCTGTAATTGCTGCAAAAGGTGGCTCTACAAAGTATTGACTTTGGGGGGGTGAATAGTTATGCACGCTCTAGTTTTCTGTTTTTTTTGTCTTATTTCTTGTTTGTTTCACCCCAAAAAATATTTTGCATCTTCAAAATGGTAGGCATGTTGTGTAAATCAAATTATACAAACCCCCCAAAAATCAATTTTAATTCCAGGTTGTAAGGCAACAAAATAGCAAAATTGCCAAGGGGGGTGAATACTTTCGCAAGCCACTGTATATGGGTAAGAGAGTCTAGCTAGCTACATTTTCAGATACTATACGTTTCTAATTTGGTCAGAAAGTCGTTGACATTGCAAGTTAAAGCGTACCGTTAGCTAGCTAGCTAACATTAGCTGGCTGGCTGGCTAGCTAACGTTACGTGTATGATCTGTGTAGTAATATTATTTATATTTCAAATCCATTTGCATTGCTAGTTATAGTCTAATGTTAGCTAGCTAGCTAACATTGAACCTAGTTAGATTCATGCAGTAGTAACGTTAGGAGCTGGGATTATGTTTCATTGTTTAGTACATGTCTAAACAAAAGACTCCACTATCCAAGTAACCATTTCACTGTACCGTTTACACATTCTGTATCCTGTGCATGTGACAAAAAAATGTAGATTTTATTTGATATAGTGTGTTTACCAGAGACGGTAATGTGAAGAACAACATGACCTGCACCAAAGTCAAATTAGGATATAATGTTAGGCCAACGAGACAGTGTCCAAGTTCTAAAAATTCTCCGGTAGAATGCCCTGCTTTTATTTCGTCACACTCACAACCGTAAGCTATTTTCTGTAATTAGCTCGCCATTAACTTGTAAATAATTATCTTGTGGTGAGTTTATTTTCCTGTAATAATGAATACAAATTAGCTACATTTAAGACGTTGTCAGCTAAATGATATGGTCATTATTTGAACTAACAAGCTAGAAACGAACCAAAACATTGTTTAGAAAGTTGCTTTTAGTTGCCTGGTTTGCTAGATTGACATATACTAAATTCATTTTTAAATGAATGGGTTTATTGGTGTTAAAATACACTATCTCCTCCTCTTCATCTACACTGAAAGAAGTGGATTTAACAAGTGACATCAATAAGGAATCATAGCTTTCACCTGGATTCACCTGGTCAGTCTATGTCATGGAAAGAGCAGGTGTCCTTAATGTTTTGAGTCCTTAACTCAGTGTAGATATAGTTGATAAACATTTTTAAGAATTTGAAGTTAGGATAGCCTGAATGTTTAAAAGTTAGCCTTTCAAGAACTTTGAAAGTTTCTTCAAGTGCAGTCGCAAAAACCATCAAGTGCTATGATAAACTGGCTCTCATGAGGACCGCCACAGGAATGGAAGACCCAGAGTTACCTCTGCTGCAGAGGATAAGTTCATTAGAGTTACCAGCCTCAGAAATTACAGCCCAAATAAGTGCTTCACAGAGCTCAAGTAACAGACACATCTCAACATCAATTGTTCAGAGGAGACTGCGTGAATCAGGCCTTCATGGTCGATTTGCTGCAAAGAAACCACTACTAAAGGACACCAATAAGAAGAAGAGACTTGCTTGGGCCAAGAAACATGGGAAATGTACATAAGACAGGTGGAAATCTGTCCTTTGGTCTGGAGTCCAAATTTGAGATTTTTGGTTCCAACCGCTGTGTCTTTATGAGACGCAGTGTAGGTGAACAGATGATCTCCGCATGTGTCGTTCCCACCATGAAGCATGGAGGAGGAGGTGTGATTGTGTGGGTGTGCTTTGCTGGTGACAATGTCAATGATTTATTTAGAATTCAAGGCACATTTAACCAGCATGGCTACCACAGCATTCTGCAGCGATATGCCATCCCATCTGGTTTGGACAATCACTTGTTTCTCAACAAAACAATGACCCAACACACCTCCAGGCTGTGTAAGGGCTATTTGACCAAGAAGGAGAGTGATGGAGTGCTGTATCAGATGACTTGGCCTCCACAATCCCCCGACCTCAATCCAATTGAGATGGTTTGGGATGAGTCGGACCGCAGAGTGAAGGAAAAGCAGCCAACAAGTGCTCAGCATATGTGGGAACTCCTTCAAGACTGTTGGAAAAGCATTCCAGGTGAAGCTGGTTGAGAGAATGCCAAGAGTGTGCAAAGCTGTCATCAAGGCAAAGGGTGGCTATTTGAAGAATCTCAAATATAAAATATATTTTGATTTGTTTAACACTCTTTTGGTTACTACACAATTCCATGAGTTATTTCATAGTTTTGATGTCTTCACTATTATTGTACAATGTAGAAAATAGTTAAAATAAAGAAAAACCTTTGAATGAGTAGGTGTGTCCAAACCTTTGACTGGTACTGTATGTTAATTCATGCAAATGGTTACAGTTGAAAAAGTATACACAGTAGGGTTCTTCACAGGTCCACACGAACCCGAGAGAGGCGCGTGTTTTGTTCACGAGTGGCGCGTGTAGCTTTTTGTTTTTGTCGGCCAATCCCAAGCCATCAAAGCGGCACTAGCCTCTGGCTCTGTGTGTGTTGTGGCAAGCAAGTTAGGTGATCAATGGAAGATGCAATTAAAATGACGGAATTAAAAGTTAAATGAGAAGGATATAAGAGCCAACAGGTAGGCTGTTTCTTAATACATTGAATAGAGCTGCTGTTGTTATTGTGCAGGACGGGGGAAAGCGCAGCCTATCTAGATTTGATTAGCCAACCCAGCTAGCTAGCTAGCTTAACTAGCTTCTCTTCTCGGTTTGATGCAGTCAAAACAGATACTATGTAATCAGATTGGATGATAAATAACCTAGCTTTGGCAGCAAAAAGTTGGTAACTAATGCGAGTCGGCTTGGTTGCTGCTGTCTCTCTCTTTCTCCTCCTCCTGCCACTGAGCAACACACAGGGGTTTTCTCATTTGGGCAATAGACAGTCCTCCGTCCTCTCTCTTCCGTGACCCGGAAACCGATAAGTGGTTGAGTGGTCGAGGAGTGTGTCATTCGCTAGTAGGCAAACAGAAGATAGCCACCATTCATTGAGGATATTAATGTGTATCCTACAGCAGATTTTTTTTTAAATCTGCCACATCCCCTTTGAATCAGCTTTTGTTTCGACAAAGGAGTAAAACATACGCTATTTATTGTTTTATCTATAAAATGTCTTGCACAACTAACTTCATTTGTTTTGCTACACCCCTGTAAACGTAATTTGCCTAATGATGCGCGAGTGGAGAAGGACCGTGCTGACTCTCCTCGATTAACTTTGACCTTTTTTAAAAGGAGGCGAGAAGGACGGAGGAGAGAGGACGCAGGAGAGAGGACGCAGGAGGTGAGCAAATGTAATTGATTAAAGGCCACAGTCACAAACACACAGCAAATTGAGATGGATAGGATGTACTCACAGGGCTGTGTGTGTGCCAGCAGCAGTAGCAGCAGTGTGCGGCTGTGTTGGAAGATCCGCAGAGAGTGATTGCCCTTCTCCAGGGCCTCCCTGAAACAACACAGTGTATCCTCCACATCCAGAGGAACACACACCACACACATGGCCCGGCGCACCTCTACAACAGACAAACACACACACTGTAACACACCAATATACCCATAGACCAGAATGACTGATGAGTTATTAAAAAAGGAATGGTTGAAGGTAGGGCTCGACATTAACGCTTGTCCTCTTGTCCGGGAGAAGTAAAAAAATAATAATAATTTCCGAATGGACAAAAAAAGAAAAAATCACAACAAATTCTCAATTTCAATCTATTACTCCGAAAAGAATTGGATCAGAGAGGCAAACTTTGGAATAATATTCAAATCAATTTTTCATGTACATACTGTAAGTAAAAAAGTCTACATGTCAAAGTGTAGGTGATATACAGTACATATTGGCTACAGCCTGCTGTCCAAACCGATGCTGACATCCAGAAAATGTAGCCAAACTTTAATGTGACTTTTATTTACATATATTTAGGCTAAATGCCAGTGATGTTAGACAAACATAATGAAGGATGATTAACATTAACGTCAAAAGACCAGAGAGTGAAGGAACATGCCTGTTGTGCACCACACATCACCCACCTTGAATCTGAGCAGAGGCGGTCAGCATTTTGAAACTATTTAACCATAAACTTAAATTGTTTTATAAACACTTAATATGCGATTGAAACCAGCACTTTTCTGATGTTCTATTGGTTTTCAAATGAACGTTTAAGTTCATTAGTCATATACAGTGCCTTCAGAAAGTATTCAGACACCTTGACTTATTCCACATTTTGTTAAGTTTTGTTATATTACATTTACATAAGCATTCAGACCCTTTACTCATTACTTTGTTGACGCACCTTTGGCAGCGATTACAGCATCGAGTCTTCTTGGGTATGACGCTACAAGCTTGGCACACCTGTATTTGGGGAGTTTCTCCCATTCTTCTCTGAAGATCCTCTCAAGCTGGATGGGGAGCATTGCTGCACAGCTATTTTCAGGTCTCTCCAGAGATGTTTGATCGGGTTCAAGTCCAGGCTCTGGCAGGGCCACTCAAGGACATTCAGAGACTTGTCCCGAAGCCACTCCTGCGTTGTCTTGGCTGTGTGCTTAGGGTCGTTGTCCTGTTGGAAGGTGAACCTTCACCCCAGTCTGAGGTCCTGAGCGCTCTGGAGCAGGTTTTCATCAAAGATCTCTCTGTACTTTGCTCCGTTCATCTTTGCCTCGATCCTGACTAGTCTCCCAGTCCCTGCCTCTGAAAAACATCCCCACAGCCTGATGCTGCCACCACCATGCTTCACCGTAGGGATGGTGCCAGGTTTCCTCCAGACGTGACACTTGGCATTCAGGCCAAAGAGTTCAATATTGGTTTAATCAGACCAGATAATCTTGTCTTTAGGTGCCTTTTGGCAAACTCCAAGCGGGCTGTCATGTGCCTTTTACTGAGGAGTGGCTTCCATTTGGCCACTCTACCATAAAGGCCTGATTGGTGGAGTGCTACAGAGATAGTTGTCCTTCTGGAAGGTTCTCCCATCTCCACAGAGGAACTCTAGAGCTCTGTCAGAGTGACAATCGGGTTCTTGGTCACCTCCCTGACCAAGGCCCTTCTCTCCTGATTGCTCAGTTTGGCCAGCTCTAGGAAGAGTCTTGGTGGTTCCAAACTTCTTCCATTTAAGAATGATGGAGGCCACTGTGTTCTTGGGGACCTTCAATGCTGCAGAAATGTTTTGGTACCCTTCCCCAGATCTGTGCCTCGACACAATCCTGTCTCGGAGCTCTACGGACAATTCTTTCGACCTCAAGGCTTGGTTTTTGCTCTGACATGCACTGTCAACTGTGGGACCTTATATAGACAGGTGTGTGCCTTTCCAAATCATGTCCAATCAATTGAATTTACCACAGGTGGACTCCAATCAAGTTGTAGAAACATCTCAAGGATGATCAATGGAAACAGGATAGACCTGAGCTCATTTTCGAGTCTCATAGCAAAGGGTCTGAATACTTATGTAAATAAGGTATTTTCTAAAATCCTGTTTTCAATTTGTCAGTATGGGGTATTGTGTGTAGATTGCTGAGGATTTGTATTTATTTAATCCATTTTAGAATAAGGCTGTAACGTAACAAAATGTGGAAAAAGTCAACAGGTCTTTCTGAAGGCACTGTAAGTAACCCATGCTAGTTGCTAGTAAGATCTCACCTCTTTCTTAATTTCGAATGGATATTTTCATCTCTGTTACATGAAACCGCTCGCGCTTTTGAGAAAGGCCTTTTCCCGCTAATTGCATTTTGGAACATTCCCACGTAGCCTACAGCCATGTGCGCATTGTTGAGTTTATAATATGAAGAAACACAATTTGATCCATGTTGGATCTGTTGCATCAGCCTCATTGCTTTTTTAAATTTTGGATCTGTCGTCCCAGAACTGTCCCAGAGTCTGTCCCAGAGTCTGTTTTGAACTGTAGACATATTTATTATCGTCCCAGGGACGACGGGACGCCCTTAATTTCGAGCCCTGGATGGAATTATTCTATAAAGACATAAAAAGTACTTGGTTGAAATTGTAATGTTGCAATATTTTATAGGCTACCAAGGGTGGCCAACCATCCTCCAGGAGAGCCTTAAAGGGGCAGCGTTGTATTTTGAGACAGGCTGATTACCGTGGCTGATTGGGCTGCACAACGAGTCGATAAGCCGGCGACCAGTGCACCGGTGTTGTATCGACATGCCTACCGACTTGAAGTGCTTCCTACTGGCTATCACGTGTCACCGGCGGTATCTAACGTGGCCATTTTTTTCTCTCACATTATTTTATTTTAAGTAGGATAACAGCCTACACAAGAAATAACTAATATTAATAGCCATCTAGATGTCACATACATACAGTCTACTACTCAATGGATAGGGCATGAACGGCAACAACACCGAGACCCAGTGCTCTTCGGCTCCACTTGACAAGCACTACTGTCTGGCAACGGTGTGGGAAGTAGCTACCTTGTATCCAATATCAGGGTGACAGTCACAGTAAGCACACACATACAACGCATGAAGCAACAGTACACCCATCATCAATACTTTTAATCAAAAATAAACAATCGTCAGTTTTATAACTGGAAAAGTACAATTATTTGTGTAAAACAGTGAAAAAAGACTCAGACTCATCCTCTGGCTTAAAAACAGAAGTCCAAACTCTTGCGGTACGGTAGCTTAATGTACGATAGTTGCGTGAAAAAACCCCAAAAACACTGCTCAATCAAAACTGTCTCACCTATATCAGAGCGCTTTCGACAAATCCACTACTTTCCTTTCGACACACCCACTCCTTTCGACATGCCCACTACTTTCCTTTCGACACACCCACTCCTTTCGACACACCCACTCCTTTCGACACGCCCACTACTTTCCTTTCGACACACCCACTCCTTTCGACAAACCCACTACTTTCCTTTCAACACACCCACTCCTTTCGACACGCCCACTACTTTCCATTCGACATACCCACTCGCCCATACTCTGGTCACCACATTAGGATGCAGCTACCCACTTCTCCTTGAATATGCATCAGAAGCCAATAGGCAGAGTGTAGCCTACATGTTTGTCTGATTCTCTATGGTAAAAAAGATACTAATGCATTTTATTTTGTAAAGTGGTTCCTTGAATCATACAATGATGTACAAATGGTGTTACAGACCATTTACATTTTTGGGGGGACAAGTGACATGAGCTTTTCGAGAAGTAAAAAATCTGTCCGACTTGTCCGAAGGACAAGTGGATAAAAAAAGTTAATGTCGAGCCCTGGAATGAATAGCATAATAAGGTTGGCCTATATCAATAAAAGTGCAAGGCTTATCGACTTATAGCAATAAAATATGATTAATTGATTGACTGATTTCCAGCTGCTACTGGATTCCCATACCAGAGAGTTCGAGGAGCTCAGCGTTTGGGTTGGTGGGAGTGTTGCACCCCCGCCTGGGGGCTGGCACAGCAGGGGGAGTCCAGCAATTCAGCAGCTGTCTCCCTGCATAGTTCTTACAGGTGATCTGACACACAGGGGTAGAGACTATTCAATCCGCACACTATACACCCACTCTACATACACAAACAGCATCCTAACACACAGCAGTGGTCTCAATTCTGTCCCTACAGTATTCATTATAAACCATACCCCATAGGAGCAGAGTCATCCTCTAGTCCACACTAAGCCTTAGGAATGGATTAGTGCCCTGACATTGTACAGTGGGGGAAAAAAGTATTTAGTCAGCCACCAATTGTGCAAGTTCTCCCACTTAAAAAGATGAGAGAGGCCTGTAATTTTCATCATAGGTACACGTCAACTATGACAGACAAAATGAGAAAAGAAAATCCAGAAAATCACATTGTAGGATTTTTAATGAATTTATTTGCAAATTATGGTGGAAAATAAGTATTTGGTCAATAACAAAAGTTTCTCAATACTTTGTTATATACCCTTTGTTGGCAATGACACATGTCAAACGTTTTCTGTAAGTCTTCACAAGGTTTTCACACACTGTTGCTGGTATTTTGGCCCATTCCTCCATGCAGATCTCCTCTAGAGCAGTGATGTTTTGGGGCTGTCGCTGGGCAACACAGATTTTCAACTCCCTCCAAAGATTTTCTATGGGGTTGAGATCTGGAGACTGGCTAGGCCACTCCAGGACCTTGAAATGCTTCTTACGAAGCCACTCCTTCGTTGCCCGGGCGGTGTGTTTGGGATCATTGTCATGCTGAAAGACCCAGCCACGTTTCATCTTTAATGCCCTTGCTGATGGAAGGAGGTTTTCACTCAAAATCTCACGATACATGGCCCCATTCATTCTTTCCTTTACACGGATCAGTCGTCCTGGTCCCTTTGCAGAAAAACAGCCCCAAAGCATGATGTTTCCACCCCCATGCTTCACAGTAGGTATGGTGTTCTTTGGATGCAACTCAGCATTCTTTGTCCTCCAAACACGACGAGTTGAGTTTTTACCAAAAAGTTCTATTTTGGTTTCATCTGACCATATGACATTCTCCCAATCCTCTTCTGGATCACCTAAATGCACTCTAGCAAACTTCAGACGGGCCTGGACATGTACTGGCTTAAGCAGTGGGACACGTCTGGCACTGCAGGATTTGAGTCCCTGGCGGCGTAGTGTGTTACTGATGGTAGGCTTTGTTACTTTGGTCCCAGCTCTCTGCAGGTCATTCACTAGGTCCCCCCGTGTGGTTCTGGGATTTTTGCTCACCGTTCTTGTGATCATTTTGACCCCACGAGGTGAGATCTTGCGTGGAGCCCCAGATCGAGGGAGATTATCAGTGGTCTTGTATGTCTTCCATTTCCTAATAATTGCTCCCACAGTTGATTTCTTCAAACCAAGCTGCTTACCTGTTGCAGATTCAGTCTTCCCAGCCTGGTGCAGGTCTACAATTATGTTTCTGGTGTCCTTTGACAGCTCTTTGGTCTTGGCCATAGTGGAGTTTGGAGTGTGACTGTTTGAGGTTGTGGACAGGTGTCTTTTATACTGATAACAAGTTCAAACAGGTGCCATTAATACAGGTAACGAGTGGAGGACAGAGGAGCCTCTTAAAGAAGAAGTTACAGGTCTGTGAGAGCCAGAAATCTTGCTTGTTTTTAGGTGACCAAATACTTATTTTCCACCATAATTTGCAAATAAATTCATAAAAAATCCTACAATGTGATTTTCTGGATGTTTTTTTCTCAATTTGTCTGTCATAGTTGACGTGTACCTATGATGAAAATTACAGGCCTCTCTCATCTTTTTAAGTGGGAGAACTTGCACAATTGGTGGCTGACTAAATACTTTTTTCCCCCACTGTAACTGCCCTGTATTATTACTTTCCTCAAAAAGGTCAAGTATGACACCTTGTATTTCATTGGGTGGTAAAAGGTTGTGTATATTCCCTCTAACCTTCTCTCCAGTGACGTTCTGCGTTTTTATGAGGTGTGGCTGAGGGACCGGAGGTCCTCCGAAGTAGCTGATCCTCTCCAGCAGTCTCCTCTGAGCATGGACCAGGATAGGAGTGATCATGTGGGTGTAGCACTCTCTGGGATGCACAACACATAGGACAGAGACAGTACTGGCAGGCAGGCAGACGCACACAAACACACCTCCCTGTGAGAGGATGGAAGCTACCTACCGTGTGTGTGAGTTGAAGAGCAGGGTCAGGTGTGTGTGTGTGTATCGAGAGCGAGAGAGAGAGCGAGAGTGTGTGTGTGTGTGTGTGTGTGTGTGTGTGTGTGTGTGTGTGTGTGTGTGTGTGTGTGTGTGTGTGTGTGTGGGGGGGGGGGTGTTACCTACCGTGTGTGTGAGTTGAAGAGCAGGGCGAGGTGAGCCAGAGTCTCCCAGCGAGCCTCGAGGTAGAGCAGCTCAAGGGTGTGAAGGGTGAGGCTCCTGATCCATCTCAGGTCCACCAAGGTACCGTCATCCATCGGGGCGGAGAAGTGCATGCTGGCCTCCATCTCCTCATCCTCCACTTCAAACACCTGCCAGAGCTAGGGACGGATGGAGGGAAACAGAAAGTTAAAGATTTGTATAAAACATGAAGGGTGTTTCTCATGCACTGTACATATGTATATACAGTAGGGGCCGAAATTATTGACATCCTTGATGAGCAAAAATGACTGTATAAAATAAATAATTCAAATACTGAGCTATATTTTATGGAAAAAAATGGGGACATTATATTATTTTATACTAATACAATTGCTCAGAGAAAGAGATTTAGTTTAAAAAGTAATTAAAAACAATTCTCAAACAGGTAGGGGGCAAAATTATTGATACCCCTGTTTTCAATCATTTTGACCCCTACCTTTTTGAAAAAATAAATAAATAAATAAATATATATATATATACTGAACAAAAACATAAACGCAACATGTAAAGTGTTGGTCTCATGTTTCATCTTTCAGCTGAAATAAAAGATCCCAGACATTTTCCATACGCACAAAAAGCTTAATTCTCTCACATTTTTTCACAAATTTGTATACATCCCTGTTAGTGAGCATTTCTCCTTTTACAAGATAATCTATCCATATTTGTATTTATTATGGATCCCCATTAGCTGCTGCCAAGGCAGCAGCTACTCTTCCTGGGTCCGGCAAAATTAAGGCAGTTACACAATTTTAAAAACATTACAATACATTAATTACAGAATTCACAACACATTAAGTGTGTGCCCTCAGGCCTCTACTCCACTACCACATATCTACAACACAAAATCCATGTGTACGTGTGTGTATAGTGCGTATGTTATCATGTGTGTGTATGCATGTGTCTGTGCCTGTGTTTGTGTTGCTTCACAGTCTCCGCTGTTCCATAAGGTGTATTTTTATCTCTTTTTAAAATCTGATTCTACTGCTTGCATCAGTAACCTGATGTGGAATAGAGTTCCAAGTAGTCATGGCTCTACGTATTACTGTGCGCCTCCCATAGTCTGTTTTGGACTTGGGGACTGTGAAGGGACCTCTGGTGGCATGTCTTGTGGGGTATGCATGGGTGTCTGAGCTGTGTGCTAGTCGTTTAAACAGACAGCTCGGTGCTTTCAACTTGTCAATACCTCTCACAAATACAAGTATTGATTGACATGCATATAATTAATGTTTGCTCTCTGTGTACATCCAAGGGGCAGCAGTGCTGCCCTGTTCTGAGCCAATTGCAATTTTCCTATGTCCCTCTTTGTGGCACCTGACCACACGACTGAACAGTAGTCCAGGTGCGACAAAACTAGAGCCTGTAGGACCAGCCTTTTTGATGGTGCTGTTAAGAAGGTAGAATAGCACTTTATTATGGACAGACTTCTCCCCATCTTAGCTACTGCTGTATCAATATGTTTTGACCATGACAGTTTACAATCCAGGGATACTCCAAGCAGTTTAGTCACCTCAACTTGATCAAATATTTAGGACTAACTTATTCCTTGCCACCCATTCTGAAACTAACTGCAGCTCTTTGTTAAGTGTTGCAGTCATTTCAGTTGCTGTAGTAGCTGACGTGTATAGTGTTGAGTCATCCGCATACATAGACACACTGGCTTTACTCAAAGCCAGTGGCATGTCGTTAGTAAAGATTGAAAAAAGTAAGGGGCCTAGACAGCTGCCCTCGGGAATTCCTGATTCTATCTGGATTATGTTGAAGAGGCTTCCATTAAAGAACACCCTCTGTGTTCTGTTACACAGGTAACTCTTTATCCACAATATAGCAGGGGGTGTAAAGCCAGAACACATAAGCAGCAGACTATGATCGATAATGTCAAAAGCCGCACTGAAGTCTAACAAAACAGCCCCCACAATCTTTTTTATCATCAATTTCTCTCACACAAAGGACTGATGATTGGCTAAGTGCTGTGCTTGTTGAATGTCCTTCCCTATAAGCGTGCTGAAAGTCTGTTGTCAATTTGTTTACTCTAAAATAGCATTGTATCTGCTCAAACACATTTTTTTCCTAAACTTTACTAAGGGTTGATAACAGGCAGATTGGTCTGCAGATTGGTCTGCTATTATAATTTTTTCACCTCTTCCACACTCACTTTACGGAATTCAAAATTACAATTCTTCTCTTTCATAATTTGGTCAGATATACTTGGATGGGTAGTGTCAGCGTTTGCTGCTGGCATGTCATGCCTAAATTTGCTAATGTTGTGGCAATATCAGTCGGTTTTGTAATGAATGAGCCATCTGATTCAATGAATGATGGAGCAGAGTTTGCCTTTATTCCCAAAATGTCATTGAAGGTGATCCAAAGCTTTTTACTATCATTCTTTATGTCATTTATCTTTGTTTCATAGTGCAGTTTCTTCTTTTTATTCAGTTTAGTCACATGATTTCTCAATTTGCAGTATGTTTGCCAATCGGTTGTGCAGCCAGACTTATTTGCCTCATCCCTCTCAACCATACCATTTTTCAATTCCTTATCAATCCACGGGGATTTAACAGTTTTTAAAGTCATTTTCTTAATGGGTGCATGCTTATTAGTAACTGGGATAAGCAATTTCATAAATTATCAAGTGCAACGTCTGTTTGCTCCTCATTGCACACCACGGACCAACAAATATTCCTTATATCAACAACATAGCAATCACTACAAAACGTATTGTATGACCTCTTATTCACTATATTTTCCTAGATATGGCTACTATATTGTGATCACTACATCCAATGGATCTGGATACTGCTTTCAAGCACATTTCTGCAGCATTAGTAAAGATGTGATCAATACATGTTGATTTCATTTCTGTGCTGTTTGTAACTACCCTGGTTGCAGGCACTGGTTACAGTTTGAAGCTTTTTCTTGACTTGGCAGCTTGATGAAAGCCAGTCAATATTTCTCTCTGTTGATATCACATACATTATCAAGCATTTCACACATGTTATCCAGATACTGACTGTTAGCACTTGGTGGTCTATAGCAGCTTCCCACAAGAATGGGCTTTAGGTGAGGCAGATGAACCTGTAGCCATATTACTTCAAAAGTATTTAACATGAGATCCTCTCTAATCTTTACAGGAATGTGGTTCTGAATATAAACAGCAACACCTCCACCATTGGCATTTCTGTACTTTCTGTAAATGTTATAACCTTGTATTGCTATCACTGTATCATCAAAGGTATTATCTAAGTGAGTTTCAGAGATAGTCAGAATATGAATGTCATCTGTTACTAGCAGGTTATTAATTTCATGGACCTTGTTTCTTAAGCTACATATGTTAACGTGGGCTATTTTGAGCACTTTTCTGGGATGCTTGCTTCATTGCTTTACTGGGAAGCTTAGCAGAAGTAGACATTCTCCTGTTATTTATGTTGGTGCAGGGTGAGCTGCACACAGTGGACTTCCTACTAGGGCACACTGCCTCAGTGCTAACAGCATACATCTGGTTTATAGGCACATGATTACTGCATACAATAGCTGTAGGATTAGCAGAGGCATTCAGGGCAGTTAGAGGGACATAAATTAGGTTACTTACATTGTGTCTACCAATGCCCCTGGTATAATGTACATTTGCTAAAGCATTATGATGACTCAGCGACACAATAGTAGGGATTAACTGAGCTGGGCTTTGGTCATTGATAAGTCCTCTGTAGCTCAATTGGTAGAGCATGGCGCTTGTAACGCCAGGGTAGTGGGTTCGATCCCCGGGACCACCCATACGTAAAAATGTATGCACACATGACTGTAAGTCGCTTTGGATAAAAGCGTCTGCTAAATGGCATATTATTATTATTATTATTATTATTATAAGTAATTGTCTCAACGTAGCCTTATAATGCTGTGAAAGGATCCAGGAACCCAAATGATTTGGGTGGATCCCATTCTCCTTATAAAACGTATTTTGTTTCCAAAAGGCATCGAAATTGTCAAAAAGAAGTTACACCCATTGAGCTGCAATAATCACGAAGCCATATCAAGAAGCTGATTAAACTACATGATCATTACACAGGTGCACCTTGTCCTAGGGACAATAAAAGGCCACTCTAAAATGTGCAGTTTTGTCACACAACACAATGCCACAGATGTCTCAAGTTTTGAGGGAGTGTGCAATTGGCATGCTGACTGCAGGAATGTCCACCAGAGCTGTTGTCAGAAAATGTAATGTTCATTTCTCTACCATAAGTAGAGGCCAACGTCGTTTTAGAGAATTTGGCATTACGTCTAACCGGCCACACAACCGCACACCACGTTCGTGTATGGTGTCGTGTGTGTGAGCTGTTTGCTGATGTCAACGTTGTGAACAGAGTGCCCCATGGTGACAGGGGTTATGGTATGGGCAGGCATAAGCTATGGACAACGAACACAATTGCATTTTATCGATGGCAATTTGAATGCACAGAGATACCATGACGAGATCCTCAGGCCCATTGTCGTGCCATTCATCCGCCGTCATCACCTCATGTTTCAGCATGATAATGCACGGCCCCATGTCGCAAGGATCTGTACACAATTCCTGGAAGCTGAAAATGTCACAGTTCTTCCATGGCCTGAATACTCACCAGACATGTTACCCATTGAGCATGTTTGGGAAGCTCTGGATCGACATGTATGACAGCATGTTCCAGTTCCCGCCAATATCCAGTAACTTCGCACAGCCTTTGAAGAGGAGTGGGACAACATTCCACAGGCCACAATCAACAGCCTGATCAACTCTATGCAAAGGAGATGTGTCGCACTGCATGAGGCAAATGGTGGTCACACCAGATACTGACTGGTTTTCTGATCCACGCCCCTACCTTTTTAAAGGTATATGTGACCAACAGATGCATATCAGTATTCCTAGTCATGTGAAATCCATAGATTAGGGCCTAATGAATGTATTTAAATTGACTGATTTCCTTATATGAACTGTAACTCAGTCAAATATTTTAAACTGTTGCATGATGCGTCTATATTTTTGTTCAGTACATATACACTACCGGTCAAAAGTTTTAGAACACCTACTCATTCAAGGGTTTTTCTTTATAATATGGACAAATAGGGCTATCTACCTTGTCACAATACAACTGATTGGCTCAAACACATTAAGAAGTAAACAATTCCACAAACTAAACTTTTAAGAAGGCACACCTGTTAATTGAAATGCATTCCAGGTGACTACCTCATGAAGCTGCTTGAGAGAATGCCACCAGTATGCAAAGCTGTCATCAAGGCAAAGGGTGGCTATTTTAAGAATCTCAAATCTCAAATATATTTTGATTTGTTTAACACTTTTTTGGTTACTACATGATTGCATATGTGTTATTTCATCGTTTTGATGTCTTCACTATTATCCTACAATGTAGAAAATAGTAAAAATAAAGAAAAACCCTTGAATGAGTATGTATTCTAAAACTTTTGACCGGTAATGTATTACTTGTTAAACAACATTTCCATCTCTGAGCAATTAGTATAAAATAATATAATTTCCCTTTTTTTTTTGTTGCATAAAACATACACTGAGTATACCAAACATTAGGAACACCTTCCTAATATTGAGTTGCACCCCTTCCCCCCAATAATCTATCTATGCTCAAAAGCATGGGACTGTAAGAGTAAAGGGATAAAGTGAGACCTGCATCCTCTCCATCATGTTCATGAGGAGGTCTGTAGCCAGCGCAAACAAAGGGGTGAGGACAGTGTAGAGCTGGTCCAATGTTAAAGGGATGGGGGGCTCCATGGATGCACCCCTGTCTACTAGCAGAGTGATGGTACAGCCCTGGTCCCATAGTGTCCGACACACACACTGCAACGTTGTCCAGTGGCCCCCACGATGGGCAAGTACCTGTTAACACACACACATACCGTTCAGAAATACCATACACAAACATTCCAATATACAGGTTATGGCCATACACATTACGCTCTCAACATCAATACAGATGTGGTTTGTACGGAAGATACGGTTTACATTTTGGAGTGTTTGTATGTGCGCGGGTATGCTGCATATTTTTTTGGGGGGGCCTGTTTGTATGTGTGTGTGTTGTGTGTGTGTGTGTATGCATCCGTGTCTGTGTGTGTGTGTGTATCAGGTACCATGGCTCTGCGGAGGTGCAGGGCAGCCTTGTTGAGTGACTCCAGCAGCTGAGTGGCGGTGCGTCTGGTCGGGGAGGTGGTCATCACTGAGGGCTCACTACAGTCCGAGTCCACGGCCGGCTGGGCACGGGGAGAGTCCTGCTCACTGTCCTGCTCACTGCTCTCTGTCGTGTTGAAGTCCTCTCCACTGGTGGTGGTGGCAGCTGAAGGGAGGAGAGAGGGAAAGAGTGAAAGAAAGGAATAATGTTTTTGTCCTCTGATGTGTCAAAAGAAAGAGAGAGAGAGAGAGATAGGGCGAGAGAGTGTGTGTGTGTGTTGAGGACAGTTAGCTACTTCAGTTATTTCCTTACCCTGTCCGCTCTCCTTGGCCTTGTGGAGGATGGCCCTGCGGTAGGTTCTAAGGCGGGGCTGGGTCGTGGCTTTGGGGGGCGGGGGGATCAGGTCAGGGACTCCGATGTGCTGAGGCATGTTCCTCCACCTCACCAGAGTACCAGAGTGGGCCAGGGAGAACAACGACAGAGGCAGCTGGCTGTAGCTACAAGCACAAGAACAAAAATGTCGTCATGGTCAATTGTCTTTGTTGTAAAATTTACATGCACATTTTTGTTCATATACGTACAATCAATAAAACACAGAAATGTAGCTAACTATTCTCCTAAACTCGCTTGAAAGTGAGCTGGCACCAGATATGTAATAGGGCTAGCTCAGCTCACTTTTAGCTACACTCTGAGAATCGTGCTGGAAAGGACAGTGACTGTGAAAAGAAGACATCTGAGCCAGCACAGTACAATCTGGAGGGAATGATAGCGTGACAAGGGTACAGCATGTACAGTTAAAGTCGGAAGTTTACATACACCTTAGCCAAATACATTTAAACTCAGTTTTTCACAATTCCTGACATTTAATCCTAGTAAAAATTCCCTGTCTTAGGTCAGTTAGGATCACCACTTCATTTTAAGAATGTGAAATGTCAGAATAATAGTTGAGAGAATTATTTATTTCAGCTTTTCTTTCTTTCATCACATTCCCAGTGGGTCAGAAGTTTACATACACTCAATTAGTATTTGGTAGCATTGCCTTTTAATTGTTTAACTTGGGTCAAACGTTTCGGGTAGCCTTCCACAAGCTTCCCACAATAAGTTTGGTGAATTTTGGCCCATTCCTCCTGACAGACCTGGTGTAACTGAGTCAGGTTTGTAGGCCTCCTTGCTCGCACATGCATTTTCAGTTCTGCCCACACATTTTCTATAGGATTGAGGTCAGGGCTTTGTGATGACCACTCCAATACCTTGACTTTGTTGTCCTTAAGCCATTTTGCCACAACTTTGGAAGTATGCTTGGGGTCATTGTCCATTTGGAAGACCCATTTGCGACCAAGCTTTAACTTCCTGACTGACTTTAACTTCCTGATCTTGCTTCAATATATCCACATAATTTTGCTTCCTCATGATGCCATCTATTTTGTGAAGTGCACCAGTCCCTTCTGCAGCAAAGCACCCCCACAGCATGATGCTGCCACCCCCGTGCTTCACGGTTGGGATGGTGTTCTTCGGCTTGCAAGCGACCCCCTTTTTCCTCCAAACATAACGATGGTCATTATGGCCAAACAGTTCTATTTTTGTTTCATCAGACCAGAGGACATTTCTCCAAAAAGTACGGAATTTGTCCCCATGTGCAGTTGCAAACCGTAGTCTGGCTTTTTTATGGTGATTTTGGAGCAGTGGCTTCTTCCTTGCTGAGCGGCCTTTCAGGTTATGTCGATATAGGACTCGTTTTACTGTGAATATAGATACTTTTGTACCTGTTTCCTCCAGCATCTTCACAAGGTCCTTTGCTGTTGTTTTGGGATTGACTTGCACTTTTCATAGCAAAATACGTTCATCTCTAGGAGACAGAACACGTCAGACAGAACACGTCTCATTCCTGAGCGGTATGACGGCTGCGTGTTGTCATGGTGTTTATACTTGCGTACTATTGTTTGTACAGATGAACGTGGTACCTTCAGGCATTTGGAAATTGCTCCCAAGGATGAACCAGACTTGTGGAGGTCCCCAAAATAAATTATGAGGTCTTGGCTGATTTCTTTTGATTTTTCCATGATGTCAAGCAAAGAGGCACTGAGTTTGAAGGTAGGCCTTGAAATATATCCACAGGTACACCTCCAATTGACTCCAATGATGTCAATTAGCCTATCAGAAGCTTCTAATGCCATGACATCATTTTCTGGAATTTTACAAGCTGTTTAAAGGCACAGTCATGGCTTTAGAAGCTTCTGAACCACTGGAATTGTGATACAATGAATTATAAGTGAAATAATCTGTCTGTAAACAATTGTTGCAAAAATGACTTGTGTCATGCACAAAGTAGATGTCCTAACTGACTTGCCAAAACTATAGTTTGTTAACAAGAAATTTGTGGAGTGGTTGAAAAACAAGTTTTAATGACTCCAACCTAAGTGTATGTAAACTCCCGACTTCAACTGTATATGTGGGAAACAGTGATCTGTATGTATGTGTGTGTGTGTGTATGCATGCGTGTGTCTGTGTCTATATCTACCTGTGTTGTAAGGCCCCAAGGCCCTGGTGGTTCTCCAGGCTCCTCCTCAGTAGTCCCAGGTGAGCCCTGGCGGTGCTAAGGTTGAGGTGACACCTCCACAGCCACTCCTCAGAACACACCTGTCTCAGACACCTCCGACGCTGGTGACGGCGCACCAGGGGGGCTAGCTGGTTCAGCATGGTTTCCACCGCCTTATACTCCCTGACACACAGTCACACAGATGGGAGACACTCAGGCAATTGGGGTAAAAGTTGGACGGTAATTGGTCATAAGCACAAAGAGAGACAGTTGCTGTAAAAGTACGTACTGTACCCACCTCTCTGTGTTCTGTGCTTTCAGAGCAGTCAGCTGTTTCTTCTGGAGAAACTCTTTCCTCTTCTTGTCACTCCAGAATGTACTGGCTTTATTCTTCTAAAGGGGACAGCAAACAGCTGTCAGACTTATTTCTTTGTATCCACACACTATTCTTCTGCAATAGCTTCAGTGGAGGGACAGAAAAGGAAAGGGAACGATTTTAGCTGAGCTCACCTTGTACTCCATGACGGAAGAGGAGAACTTCTTCAGTTCTTTCCCTGAGGTTGATCTGTCCCCTGGGCCCTTCTTAGGCCCTGTCAGTCCCTCATCCCTCCTGTCACACACACACACACCACATCACATCACATACAGTTGGGTTCTGACTATGACCCCGCCAGTGTTTTTCCAGGTCTGTCACTTGGTATATAAATCAGAGCCCTAAAACAACAACAACAACATACTGTACCGGCACTGTCTCAAGGACACAACAGGCCTTTCCATAAACTACATCATTCTTTAACCTCTTAAATGTAACTAAAGATAATCTAAATGTAATCTACGTAATCCCCAAAGTAATTATTCATCATGATAGGGCCATAAAGCGGGGACTGTGAAGAGACCCACAAAAAGATACAGACACAATACGCACACAAGCGCTAGCACACGCACTCTACACACACCTACATTGTAATATTGTTGTATGGTGGTTTTATACATTTTGTATTGTAGATATGTAGTGGTGTAATAATGTTGTATGATGTACTGTTTTATCTTTTGTTTTATATGTAATGTAAGTGCCTTAATGTGTTTGGACCCCAGGTAGAGTAGCTGTTGCCTTGGCAGCAGCTAATGGGGATCCTTAATAAATACAAATACAAATAAATAATGTATAACTATTTTTATCCCCTTTCTGGTAAAAATAGTTATACATTGCTGAGGTGTAGTCACTTTTGAGGAGTACACAGTAGAAATATAATGAAAATATGAAATGTTTAATATGATGTACCGTATTTTCCGCACTATAAGGCGCACTTAAAAGCCTTTAATTTTCTCCAAAAACGACAGTGCGCCTTATAATCCGGAGCGCCTTATATATGGATCAATTGGTTAATTGGTTGATCCATGCTGGTTGTACACGCCGCTCAAGGCGCTCTGTCAAAATGTTTCAGTATGAAAAACCAATAAATACAATTTAATAATAATGAAATGTTTCAGTACGACTGGTACACTACAAAGCCGCACCGCTTGCAGCATTACGGCTACCGTTGTCAGTAAACACTGGTACTGTGCTTACTCACAGTCCCACACCACTTGTCTGTGTATAAAGACCCCAAAATGGCAGCTTTCAAGAGACACGCTTACGACGCAGAGTTCAAGCTCAAGGCTGTCGGTCACGCAGTAGAATATGGGAATAGAGCAGCAGCGAGAGAATTCAACATTAATGAATCAATGGGCTGATATATCAGTCTCAACTGTGGTCCAAGCTTTCACGAAGGCAGGAATAATCTCTAAACTGCCAGGCAACAGCAGCGACACTGACTCGGATAATGACGAGAGGGAGCCGGGCAGGTTGGATGCCGTAGTCGCCCAACTGTTCAATTCGGACACTGAAGAAGAAGAATTCGAGGGATTCGTGGACGGGGAATGAACTGAAAAAGTGAGCTTTACGTGTTATACGTAACTGAACAATGTTGAGTTATGCACTAACGTTTGATTTAGTGGTATCAGACTGTTTCTTTTACTATGTGTTTACTGAATCAGGGAAAAGTTCCCCTCCACGTTTGGGAGAAGAGTGAGCAAGGCTGGGAGATATTGTTAATATGCACATTAACGTTTGAACAACGTTACCATGGGAGTGAACGGAGTTGTCAGAACGCTTAATCCAGGCTCTGTCGTAGCTGGCCGCGACCGGGAGACCCATGGGGCGGCGCACAATTGGCCCAGCGTCGTCCAGGGTAGGGGAGGGAATGGCCGGCAGGGATGTAGCTCAGTTGGTAGAGCATGGTGTTTGCAACACCAGGGCTGTGGGTTCAATTCCCACGGGGGGTATAAAAAATTATGTATGCACTAACTGTAAGTCGCTCTGGATAAGAGCGTCTGCTAAATGACTAAAATGTAAAATGTTAATGTTAATAAAGTTTGACTTTATCTGACTGTTTTGTTGACATTCCCTTTAGCACAGCTCCATCTAGTGGATGCATAACGCAACCCCAGTCAATCGTTTGACTATCTTCTATTCTATGCGCCTTATAATCCGGTGCGCCCTATATATGAAAACAGTTCTAAAATAAGCCAGTCATTGAAGGTGCGCCTTATAATCCGGTGCGCCTTATAGTGCGTAAAATACGGTATTTCTTATTCAACAAAACGGTATAATTAAGGTTTGAAATTATTTATATGTTTTCTAAATATAGTATAATACATTTATAAATTGACTAACTATACGATTTCACCTTCCTTATAACTGTAAAATACATAATTATTTGTATATTTAGTGTTAGAGAAAATGTGCAAAACGTCTGCCCCCATCGCTGTGAACGTCTCACAGAGCTCTAGCCTGGCTTTCTAAACTCACTAGAAACTCGCCTTTCATCTCATGTTAAAATTGTCTGGCTATGGCAAACAGAAAGTGTTTTTTTGTTTAAAATCGATGAATTATAAATCGATCTCTGAATGTGCTACAATGGACGAAACCACTCTCTCCTGCTGCGATAGTATGTAAGGATTCCAGGCTTTTGTGTTGTTAGTTAGGGTTCAGCCAGGAGTTGATGGACAGTCAGAAGAGCGAATGAAATGATAGGAGGGACAGCCCAGCTTCAAGTGGCAGAAGAGACATACTCCTGTGTCCGTGGGAATCCTACGGTGTCCACAGATCGATTTATAAGCTGAAATGTAGGTCAGAACCGGTGCCAGAACCACACAGGTCCACTAAACAGGGGACTTTACATCGAACAGGTATTAACTAAAACGTGATTATAGTACTTACAGGGCGGGACTATACAGTACCTGCTAAGCCAGCCAAATATGTCGTGTCCCCACTGCAGGACCAGCTCTAGATGGTCTTCCTGCATGGTCCTCTGGAGCAGCAGCACAGCAAACTCCATGAAGCACGCCTTGCGTTTGAACTTCATCACTGAAACACACGCCAAATACACAAAGATAATACAGTACAGACAGACACATACACAAAGTGCCTTCAGAAAGTATTCATACCCCTTGACCTATTCAATATTTTGTTGTGTTACAGCCTGAATTCAAAATGGATTAAATATATTTTTTCTCACCCACCTACACATACCTCATAATGACAAAGTGAAAACATGTTTTTAGAAATCTTTACACATTTATTGAAAATAAAATACAGAAATATCTCATTTATATAAGTATTCACACCCGAGTCAATACATGTTAGAATCACCTTTGGCAGCGATTACAGCTGTGAGTATTTCTGGGTAAGTCTCTAAGAACTTTGCACACCTGGATTGTACAATATTTGCACTATTATTAAAATCATTATTCAAACTCTGTCAGATTGCTTATTGATCATTGCTAGACAGATCATTTTCAAGTCTTGCCATAGATTTTCAAGCCGATTTAAGTCAAAACTACGAACATTCAATGTCGTCTTGCTAAGCAACTCCAGTGTATATTTGGCCTTGTGTTTTGGATTATTGTCCTGCTGAAAGGTGAATTTGTCTCCCAGTGTCTGTTGGAAAGCAAACGGAACCAGGTTTTCCTCTAGGATTTTGACTTTGCTTAACTCTATTCCGTTTCTTTTTATCGTAAAAAAATCCCTAGTCCTTGCTGATGACAAGCATATAAAATGTGGAGAAAGTCAAGGGGTGTGAATAATTTCTGAAGGCACTGTACATTTAGTAAACACCTAGGGAAGACAGAGCTAGGGTTAATAAATACGTACAATCTTTGAAAGCAGCCTTCAGAGGGCTGTTGGTGACGATGGGGTACAGTAGAATGGGGTCCTCCTGTCCAGTCAGTTCATGAGTATGGGCCACCGCTAAGAATAGCGTAGAATAGAATCAATCAATATTCAATGATACACATATAATAGAATATTGCCAATCAACAACGGTTGATAGGAATTTGTTTTAATGTCTACAATGTTACAAACAGGACAGTAAAAGCCTGCAGTATCTCATACCCCTGCTCCACGCTGAGCTGTCATGCTGCATGAAGGCTCCAGTCCTCTTGTTCTTCATGGCACTGCCCTCCAGAGCCTTCATCTGTTCATTCTGCTCCTCCTCTCCCTGGATGCTGCCTGCCTTCTTCAGCTGCTTCTCAATCTGGTCACACGCACACACACACACCAGGGTTTCCGTTAGCCGGTAATTGCCGGCTTTTGACCAACAACCAAAAAAAGCAGATAAATGTAATTGCCGCTGGACAATTCCTGTCTCGGAACAGGGGCATAAAATAAAAAATAAATGTCATCTACAGTGAGGGAAAAAAGTATTTGATCCCCTGCTGATTTTGTATGTTTGCCCACTGACAAAGAAATGATCAGTCTATAATTTTAATGGTAGGTTTATTTGAACAGTGAAAGACAGAATAACAACAAAAAAATCCAGATAAATGCATGTCAAAAATGTTATAAATTGATTTGCATTTTAATGAGGGAAATAAGTATTTGACCCCCTCTCAATCAGAAATATTTCTGGCTCCCAGGTGTCTTTTATACAGGTAACGAGCTGAGATTAGGAGCACACTCTTAAAGGGAGTGCTCCTAATCTCAGTTTGTTACCTGTATAAAATACACCTGTCCACAGAAGCAATCAATCAATCAGATTCCAAACTCTCCACCATGGCCAAGACCAAAGAGCTCTCCAAGGATGTCAGGGACAAGATTGTAGACCTACATAAGGCTGGAATGGGCTACAACACCATCGCCAAGTAGCTTGGTGAGAAGGTGACAACAGTTGGTGCGATTATTCGCAAATGGAAGAAACACAAAATAACTGTCAATCTCCCTTGGCCTGGGGCTCCATGCAAGATCTCACCTCGTGGAGTTGCAATGATCATGAGAATGGTGAGGAATCAGCCCAGAACTACACGGGAGGATCTTGTCAATGATCAAATCAAATCAAATCAAATTGTATTGGCCACATGCGCCGAATACAACAAGTGCAGACATTACAGTGAAATGCTTACTTACAGCCCTTAACCAACAGTGCATTTATTTTTAACAAAAAAGTTAAAAATAAAACAACAAAAAAAGTATTGAGAAAAAAAGAGCAGAAGTAAAATAAAATAACAGTAGGGAGGCTATATATACAGGGGGGTACCGGTGCAGAGTCAATGTGCGGGGGCACCGGCTACTTGAGGTAGTTGAAGTAATATGTACATGTGGGCAGAGTTAAAGTGATTATGCATAAATAATTAACAGAGTAGCAGCAGCGTAAAAGGATGGGGTGGGGGGGGCAGTGCAAATAGTCCGGGTAGCCATGATTAGCTGTTCAGGAGTCTTATGGCTTGGGGGTAGAAGCTGTTGAGAAGTCTTTTGGACCCAGACTTGGCACTCCGGTACCGCTTGCCGTGCGGTAGCAGAGAGAACAGTCTATGACTAGGGTGGCTGGAGTCTTTGACAATTTTGAGGGCTTTCCTCTGACACTGCATGGTATAGAGGTCCTGGATGGCAGGAAGCTTGGCCCCAGTGATGTACTGGGCCGTACGCACTACCCTCTGTAGTGCCTTGCGGTCGGAGGCCAAGCAGTTGCCATACCAGGCGGTGATGCAACCAGTCAGGATGCTCTCGATGGTGCAGTTGTAGAATTTTTTGAGGATCTGAGGACCCATGCCAAATCTTTTCAGTCTCCTGAGGGGGAATAGGCTTTGTCGTGCCCTCTTCACGACTGTCTTGGTGTGTTTGGACCATGATAGTTCGTTGGTGAAGTGGACACCAAGGAACTTGAAGCTCTCAACCTGTTCCACTACAGCCCCGTCGATGAGAATGGGGGCGTGCTCAGTCCTCTTTTTTTTCCCTGTAGTCCACAATCATCTCCTTTGTCTTGGTCACGTTGAGGGAGAGGTTGTTTGTCCTGGCACCACACGGCCAGGTCTCTGACCTCCTCCCTATAGGCTGTCTCATCGTTGTCGGTGATCAGGCCTACCACTGTTGTGTCGTCGGCAAACTTAATGATGGTGTTGGAGTCGTGCCTGGCCATGCAGTCATGGGTGAACAGGGAGTATAGGAGGGGACTGAGCACGCACCCCTGAGGGGCCCCCGTGTTGAGGATCAGTGTGGCAGATGTGTTGTTACCTAGCCTTACCACTTGGGGGCGGCCTGTCAGGAAGTTCAGGATCCAGTTGCAGAGGGAGGTGTTTAGTCCCAGGATCCTTAGCTTAGTGATGAGCTTTGAGGGCACTATGGTGTTGAATGCTGAGCTGTAGTCAATGAATAGCATTCTCACGTAGGTGTTCCTCTTGTCCAGGTGGGAAAGGGCAGTGTGGAGTGCAATAGAGATTGCATCATCTGTGGATCTGTTGGGGCAGTATACAAATTGGAGTGGGTCTAGGGTTTCTGGGATAATGCTGTTGATGTGAGCCATGACCAGCCTTTCGAAGCACTTCATGGCTACAGACGTCAGCGCTACGGGTCGGTAGTCATTTAGGCAGGTTATCTTAGAGTCCTTGGGCACGGGGACTATGGTGGTCTGCTTGAAACATGTTGGTATTACAGACTCAGTCAGGGACATGTTGAAAATGTCAGTGAAGACACTTTCCAGTTGGTCAGCACATGCTCGGAGTACACGTCCTGGTAATCCGTCTGGCCCTGCGGCCTTGTGAATGTTGACCTGCTTAAAAGTCTTACTCACATCGGCTACGGAGAGCGCGATCACATAGTCATCCAGAACAGCTGGTGCTCTCATGCATGCTTCAGTGTTGCTTGCCTCGAAGCGAGCATAGAAGTGGTTTAGCTCGTCTGGAAGTCTTGTGTCACTGGGCAGCTCGCGGCTGTGCTTCCCTTTGTAGTCTGTAATAGTTTTCAAGCCCTGCCACATCCGACGAGCGTCAGAGCCAGTGTAGTACGATTCAATCTTAGTCCTGTATTGACTCTTTGCCTGTTTGATGGTTCGTCGGAGGGCATAGCGGGATTTCTTATAAGCGTCCGGGTTAGAGTCCCGCTCCTTGAAAGCGGCAGCTCTACCCTTTAGCTCAGTGCGGATGTTTCCTGTAATCCATGGCTTCTGGTTGGGGTATGTACGTACGGTCACTGTGGGGACGACATCATCGATGCACTTATTGATGAAGCCAGTGACTGATGTGGTGTACTCCTCAATGCTATCTGAAGAATCCCGGAACATGTTCCAGTCTGTGCTAGCAAAACAGTCCTGTAGCTTAGCATCTGTGTCATCTGACCACTTTTTTATTAACCGAGTCACTGGTGCTTCCTGCTTTAGTTTTTGCTTATAAGCAGGAATCAGGAGGATAGAGTTATGGTCAGATTTGCCAAATGGAGGGCGAGGGAGAGCTTTGTATGCGTCTCTGTGTGTGGAGTAAAGGTGGTCTAGAGTTTTTTTTCCCTCTGGTTGCACATTTAACATGCTGGTAGAAATTAGGTAGAACGGATTTAAGTTTCCCTGCATTAAAGTCCCCGGCCACTAGGAGCGCCGCATCTGGATGAGCGTTTTCCTGTTGATTTATGGCCTTATACAGCTCATTCAGTGCAATCTTAATGCCAGCATTGGTTTGTGGTGGTAAATAGACAGCTATGAAAAATATAGATGAAAACTCTCTTGGTAAATAGTGTGGTCTACAGCTTATCATAAGATTTTCTACCTCAGGCGAGCAAAACCTCGAGACTTCCTTAGTATTTGATTTTGTGCACCAGCTGTTGTTTACAAATATACACAGACCGCCACCCCTTGTCTTACCGGAGTCAGCCGTTCTATCCTGCCGATGTAGCGTATAGCCCGCTAGCTGTATGTTATCCATGTCGTCGTTCAGCCACGACTCGGTGAAACATAAGATATTACAGTTTTTAATGTCCCGTTGGTAGGATAACCGTAATCTTAGGTCATCCAATTTGTTCTCCAGTGACTGTACGTTGGCTAATAGGATTGATGGAAGAGGCAGTTTACTCGCTCGCCGTCGGATCCTTACAAGGCACCCCGACCTACGTCCACGATATCTCTGTCTCTTCCTCATGCGAATGACGGGGATTTGGGCCTTGTCGGGTGTCTGTAGGATATCCTTCGCGGCCGCCTCGTTGAAGAAAAAATATTTGTCCAAACGAGGTGAGTAATCGCTGTCCTGATATCCAGAAGCTATTTTTGGTTATAAGAGACAATGGCAGAAACAAGGCAGCTCAAGGCAGCTGGGACCATAGTCACCAAGAAAACAATTGGTAACACACTACGCCGTGAAGGACTGAAATCCTGCAGCGCCCGCAAGGTCCCCCTGCTCAAGAAAGCACATATACAGGCCCGTCTGAAGTTTGCCAATGAACATCTGAATAATTCAGAGGAGAACTGGTTGAAAGTGTTGTGGTCAGATGAGACCAAAATGGAGCTCTTTGGCATCAACTCAACTCGCCGTGTTTGGAGAGGAGGCCTGCTGCCTATGACCCCAAGAACACCATCCCCACCGTCAAAACATGGAGTGGAAACATTATGCTTTAGGGGTGTTTTTCCTGCTAAGGGACAGGACAACTTCACCGCATCAAACAGGACGATGGACGGCGCCATGTACCGTGAAATCTTGGGTGAGAACCTCCTTCCCTCAGCCAGGGCATTGAAAATGGGTCATGGATGGGTATTCCAGCATGACCAATAACCCAAAACACACGCCAAGGCCAACAAAGGAGTGGCTCAAGAAGAAGCACATTAAGGTCCTGGAGTGGCCTAGCCCGTCTCCAGACCTAATCCCATAGAAATCTGTGGAGGGAGCTGACGGTTCGAGTTGCCAAACGTCAGGCTTGAAACATTATGACTTGGAGAAGATCTGCAAAGAGGAGTGGGACAAAATCCCTCCTGAGATGTGTGCAAACCTGGTGGCCAACTACAAGAAATGTCTGACTTCGTGATTGCCAACAAGGGGTTTTGCCACCATGTACTAAGTCATGTTTTGCAGAGGGGTCAAATACTTATTTCCCCTCATTAAAATGCAAATCAATTGATAACATTTTTTGACATGAGTTTTTCTCTGGATTTTTTTGTTGTTATTCTGTCTCTCACTGTTCAAATAAACCTACCATTAAAATTAGACTGATCATTTCTTTTGTCAGTGGGCAAACGTTACAAAATCAGCAGGGGGATCAAAATCTTTTTTCCCTCACTGTTGAACAAAACAATGTAATAGCCAAGAAACACAGGACAACAGTCTCACCTATGTAGGCTTTCGAGTAAATTATACCAACTTTTATGCTCCAAAAATGTATCTATCAGCACTTCACTCACAGTGCGCACAGCTCACCGCCAGGCATTGATGCTGCACGAGGTGGGATATAGATGGATATAGGATACGTATTTCTATTGAACAAAAACTTTCAATAAAAAAAAACTGCAGAAATACTTTGAAAACCGCTACTTGACTTTTGACTCTATTTTTATTAGCAAATGCGAACGTAATGCTCACTGTTCTGATAGCTGTACTTCTTGTACAAAGTATATATTGTCCTATGTTGTCATCTAGTGGCGAAATTGGGTACTGTAGCTTTTAATTTGCTAACTTTCGGTTCAGAGCTATTTCCTGTCAGAACAATCGGAGCAACAGCAACAGACAGACAAGCTTTATTTTCCATCTTACTAGGCCTTGGTTAAAGATAAGTCTGTAAGTTTATTTGCTTATTAGAACATGCTTTTTGCTGATTCAAATTGTGTTTCTAGAATATTTATGTTTTTTACATGTTTATTCTAGTTTTGTAATTTCCGATGATGCTAAGCTATTGCGCTAACTATCGCCCATTCACTTAACCATTGTGTGTTAGCATGCTAGCTAACGTTTTCGTGTACAGAATTGAGCTTCTTTGGTTTTGGATGTATCTAGCTATTTTAAGTGTTCAGCTATCTCTTTGTGACAGAGTTAAAGCATAGTAATTAAGCTATATGGACACTTTAGATTGTGTGTTATATGTTTTGTGGCACCATTCCTGTGATGTAAATTGTCATCATGTTCGCTAGCTAGGCTTGTTTTCTTGTTGCTAGCTCGTGATAGAAATGCGTTCTTTATTTGGTAACCAGTTGTGTGAATGTATATAGTGACTTTTCTATACATTTTCTCCTTTCTGTATCTGTTACAGTTTTTACAAAACAAAATATATTCTACTAAAGATTCTTAAAAGGTACCAGTGCCTCCTGATTCTTTATTGGAAAGTGTAGCTGTCTGCCAAGCTTTGTGGTTTTCCACATGTGAGGGCATGACCACTCACACTGTAGAGCCCTGCCCAAATTGACCACCCGCCCAACGTGGCTGGTTGAAATGGACATTCTTACCCGCCAATACCAAAATCTACCGGTATTTGGCGTGGTTGTTCACTTTATAGGCCCTGCTTGGGCTGTACATGGAGGTGTGCTTTGAATAGTAATTGATTAAAAGGCAGTATAGGTTACAGTGCAGTTACATACCCAGTCTGGCTCCACTGGCGGGGGCTTGCTGGGTCCCTGCACGGTCTCCAGGACCTCATGGAGGAGTTTCTTTCCCTGTTCGATCACTGTTGGCTGCCACACGGTGCTTCCTTCCAGGGTGCGAAGGCCATGGGTTAGTAGAGGACTGGTCTTAATAGATCTAGATGAATGGAACTCACACAAACACTGTGTTAAAACCTTTTCCAGCTCTTACCTCTTTGGTTGTATATAGCTCGAAGGATCAAAACGGGACACCACAGCTGTATCCTTACAAACATTTCGGGGCAGCTGCACAAAACTTCACCAGCTCTTCTCTTTTTCACACACATACACACACTATGGTTTAATAGCAGGAACCGGTTACTGAGATTTCCCGCCCAAACTCATTCTCGTTTCCAGAGATAAATCAAGGTTGCAAGAAACAGTAAATTATATAAATAATTGTTAAAACGTCGTGATGTGACGTGAAAGGGTTAAATTGGGGGTCCCTTTGTTCCCCTCTTTTCACCGGCGCGTGTCCCTCTCTTTAAGAGTATTTCACCCACCAAAAAACGACGGAGCAAGTCCCCAATACAGAACAAGATCCACTACTGGAAAACACGCCTAGTGGTTCCATAAGGACCGGACCCTTTGATGGGCCCCGGGCCCTGTTTTGTCTGCGGGCTTTTTTGCTTTTTGTTTTTTTTGGGGTTTTTTTAAAGGCGGTGGGCCCCCCCGGGGGGGGTTTTTGAATTTTTGGGTGTTCTTTCCCTGTTTTGTGGGTTGAAAAGGTAATCTTTGGTGTGGGGGGGGGTGGGCTGAGATGGCTTTTTTGGGCCGGGGGTTTGGGGTTTTTTTGGGAGGGGACGGTCCCCCTTTAAATCGGGCGTTTGGAAAATTTGTTTTAGGGAGGTGGGGAACTTTTTGGGGTACGGGCCGGGGGGAAACTGTTTGGGGGAAAGGGACGGTTTGGGGACCCTTTCAGGGGCCGGTTCACGCCATAAAATTTTTTTTTGGGGTGTGCGGGGACAGGAACGGGCCGGACCAGGCTGGCGACGGCACAAGGCTGGTCGAGGGACAGGAAACAGGCCGGACGTTGGAACACACACCACTGGCCTTGTGCGGGACAGGAAGGGGCCTACCGGCCCTGGTGACACATCCAAACTGCCTTGGTGCAAGGACGGCTGGTTCCTCATAAACCTCCGCTCCTCTGCTGCCTACTCACCTTCGCCGTGCCTCTCCACTTTTCCCTTCCCCCTCATGACCAATGCCCCCGTAACCTGGGCCTCCTCTCCTAGTCCGCAACCTCGCCTGTAGCTGCCCCAGCAGCCCCGTGTCCTGCCGTGTGCCCCCCCAAAATTTTTTTATTGGGGTTGCTCTCCTTTCCTACGACGGCCCAGTTGGCGCCGCTCTTCCTTCCTGCCTGGGCATCCTCCCTCATCGCCCTCCGGTAGGCGACGGCCTCCTCCTCTTGGATTCTACCCCAACCGAGGAGGACATCTACCAGAGTAACCTCCTGTTCCATACCCGGCGTTTGCTCCTGCACACGCTGCTTGGTCCTATTTTGGTGGATCTTCTTTCACGATCGTTGTAAGAGGCAGACCAAGGCGCAGCGTGATAGGCGTACATCTTTTAATGAGTACTTTACACCAACAACAAAACAACAAAACGATACGTGAAGTCTAAAGGTTAACCAACACAAACCTATACAGAACAAGATCCCACAATCAACTGTGCAAAACAGGCTGCCTAAGTATGGGTCCCAATCAGAGACAACGAGCAACAGCTGCCTCTGATCGGGAACCACCCTGGCCAACATAGATCTAAACGATCTAGACAGAAAACAAGGAACAACTAAACATAGGAACTAACACCCTGGCTCAACATTAAAGAGTCCCCAGAGCCAGGGCGTGACAATCTGGCTCCTCTATGGCCATCTCTGCTATCTGCATGGTCAATCATATTCCTGTAAAGCTTAGAGAGAGTCTCATGAATACACCAGAAAAATATGTTTCTACTGGTGTCTTCACCCAAGACATTAGTGACCATTGCCCAGTTGTTTGTGTTAGAGATACAAAAATCAAAGTTACAAAAATCTAAGTGTCATCACAAAGAGGAACTTTAAAAACTTCAGTGAACAGGCTTTCCTTTTTTTTTCTTTTTCCTTTATTTTATTGACCTTGATTGTATTTCAGCTATCCCTGAATCTGATTTAGCTTTGAGCCTTTTTGCAGATGTCATGCCCCCTTCAAAAAATTAAGGATTAAAGGTAGATCAAATGCCTGGTACACTCTGGAATGATCAGAAGTAATTCATAAAAGAGATTATTGTTTGGGTCAAGGCTTAGGCCTGGACTGGCAAGCTTTTAAGCAACTGAGGAATCATTGTGTAAGACAAATCAGAAATGCTAAATCTGGATAGATGAAAAGCTGTCTTTTAAAAATAATATTTTCTAAAGCAGTATCCACACCCATTGGATGTAGTGATCACAATATAGTAGCCATATCTATCAAAACCAAAGTTCCAAAGACTGGACCTAAAATAGTGTATAAGCGATCATACAAGAGGTTTTGCAATGATTCCTATGTTGAAGATGTGAAAAATATTTGTTGGCCTGATGCGTGTAATGAGGAACATCCTGATGCTGCACTTGAAGCATTTATGAAATTGCTTCTTCCGGTTACTGACAGGCATGTGCCCATAAAGAAACTGACTGTTAAAACTGCCAGATCCCCATGGATAGATGATGAATTGAAAAACTGTATGGCTTAGAGGGATGAGGGTAAGGGAATGGCAAATAAGTCTGGCAACACAGCAGATTGGCAAACATACAGTAAACGGAGAAATCACGCAACTAAACTAAACAAAAAGCTGAAGAAACTATACTATGGAACAAAGATTAATGAAATAAAGAATGATAGGAGTACCTTAAATGAAATTCTAGGGAGAAAAGCTAACTCAGCTCCATCCTTCATTGAGGCTGATGGCTCATTCATAACAAACCCTTTGATATTGCCAACCACTTTAATAACTTTTTTTTGACAAGATTAGCAAACAAATGCTGAGCCTTCATATTCATGCATAACGGACAAAATAATGAAAGACAAGCACTGTAGCTTTGAATTCCGCAAAGTTAGTGTGGAAGACATGAAAAGGACAAACCAACTGGAACCAACAACCTGGATGGTAAATCACTGAGGTTGCGACTCCCATTTGCCACATCTTCAAACTAAGCCTAGACGGCGTGTGCCCTCAGGCCTGGAGGGAGGCAAAGGTCATTCCGTTGCCCAAAAATATCAAAGCACCCTTTAATGGTTCAAACAGCAGACCAATCAGCCTTGGTCTGTTACCTGTGCTTAGCAAACTTTGGGGGAAAAATGTTTGACCAAATACAATGTTATTTTACAGAAAACAAATTAACAACAGACTTTCAGCATCAAATGACTGACGATTGGCAGAAATAAATTGATCATAAGAAGATTGTGGGAGCTGTTTTGTTAGACTTCAGTTCAGCCTATGACATCATTGATCATAGCATACTGTATTTCTGAAAAAATCCTCTGCCTTATCATGGATGGACAGTTACCTATCCAATAAAACACAGAGGGTTTTCTTTAATGGAAGCCTCTCTAATGCAAATTCGGTTGAGTGTGGTGTACCGCAAGGCAGCTGGCTTGGACCATTATGGTTTCTTGTGTTTACTAATGACCTTCCACTGACCTTGAATAAAACTTGTGTGTCCATGCACGCTGATGACTCAACAGTATACATGTCGGCTGCAACAGTTAAATAAATAACTGACACCCTTAATATAGAGCAGTCAGTTTTAGACTGGGTACCTAGCAATAGGCTGGTGTTAAATATCTGAAAAACTAAAAGCAAATATTTTGGACAAGTCACTCACTCAACCCTAAACCTCAATCTGGATCTATTATTGAATAATGTGGCTATTGAGCAAGTAGAAGACACTAAACTGCTGGGTGTCACCCTAGATAGGAAGCTATCGTGGTCAAAACATATAGGGCTCTATTTTCGGCTGGCGTTAAGGTGGAGCTAGTGTCAAACGCACGTTAGTTTGCAATTTCGCCACTGGCATTTTCCAGCCCTAATGCCAGATTCGGCAATTTACCTGTCTTATATCAGCTCGCTTGCGCTCAGATGGATGCAGTGGAAATATTTGAGGTGTGTCCTTAAAACACACCCACAACTTGTTTATTCATCAAAACCCAGCCCTTTCACGCAAACAAGTGTGCTGATAAATGTGATAGTGAAAATAGCAAAAATACTTTTGACACACCCCTGAACCCATACCGCTACCGCCTGCGCTTACATTTACCATTGCGTTAGGTTTTGTTAAAATAGAGCCCATAGACTCATAGAATGGTTACTAAAATGGCAAGAGGTCTGTCCATGATGAGGCGTTGCTCTGCTTTCTTGATATCTCAGTCAACAAGACAGGTCCTACAGGCCCTAGTTTTGTTGCATCCTGGACTACTGTCCAGTTGTGTGGTCAGGTGCGGCAAAGAAGGACATAGACAAATTGCAGTTGGTCCAAAGAAAATGGCTCAACAGAATGATACACTTGTTGCATTTTTAAAGATCTGGTTTAAAATGTCACAAAAGTTTATATATTTACTTTACAACAGGCCTACTTTTAACCTATCTTAAACTAAATACGGAGCACAAAATTAAAAAGACAGTTTGAACTTAATTTAGCCATCGAAAATGTCACAACAAAATAAAACAAACACTTTACTAATGATATACAATAATAATAATGATAAAATAAATGATAATAAATTCAAAAATAAAAAAAGTTAGAAATTGCATCAACCCTGAATAGCGGCTTCTTTTTCCTACACTCTTTCTCCTCTAACTTTCTCTTTACTTCAATGAAAAAGGCCTCCATCTTCGCAATCAATAGTAGCCTAGGCCGAGGCTCCTTTCACTGTCTCTCTCCTCAGCAGCAGGCGCACGTGAGGTGAGCAGCCGGAACCAGTTTCAGCTGGAAATAAGCTATACGTTTATTGACTTGCAATTGGCTGACACAGATAACAAGCTTGTGCAGTTCTCATCACCTCACACACATTCAATTAACAGAAGACGAGTCCAATCGGGTTCAGCCGGTAAATCAATTTGAATTGCACATACCCAAGACCCGAGGCAATTATATCAGAATCGACCCAGATCCGAGACCAAAGTCAGAATTTAGAACCCGGACCCGGTCGGTCCCGTGTCGAATCTCGGAATTTCGGGTCTGTTGGACCGTGAAGACCTCTAGACCAGTCATCACAACGCTAGCAGCCTACCATATTTACTCAACATAATTCCCCAATAGAAAACATCCCTTAGGATACTTGCATGGCTTCTATAAATGTAATTGCTTACTATTGGCTATGTGCAGGCTACACGTGACCTCTCGACACAGTTACAGTAGACAATGTCTAATCTCAATCTCCAGCTCACATTCAAATCTCCAAACTAACGTGTCGTACTAGCAAAGGGTCAAAATATAAACTGTTGCTAATCACAAAACGGCAGATACACTTTGTCCACAAAGGAAATAGACATTTGCAACATTGTTCCATGATGTTACACTAACAAAAGCGAGCGCACAGTGGGCTACTGGTCAGATTCAAGCCAATTAATCAACAGCGCTATCCATGGTGCTGAATCTCCGCTAGCCTAGGCCGATTATCTGTTTGTTTAGCGGACAATCTGATGTTCCTTGTGATAATGTCACCACAATAAGCAAGTTATCATAAAGTAAAAACAGCCTAGGGCTGTCCCCGACTAAAGGGCGAAATCTTAAAAAGTGTATTTTTCCCTATATTGACACACCCTATGTGTTTTAATAAAATCAACTATATGTAGGCTACTGAGCTTGTCTGATGCTTTAAGCACACTGTGATTAAATAATTAAGACACACAAATGAATCGAGGGAGCCAGAGATCAAGATAGCCTAACCAGAAAATAATTACATGTTCCCGACCCTCTTCCTCCCGCTGCTGCTGGCCTTCGCAGATTCTGCTGTTACGCTCCTGCTGCTACGCACCTAATAGGCTACACCAGGGGTCGGCAACCTTTTCCATTTGGAGTGCCAATTTATCTTATCATTTCTACCGATCTGCGTGCCAGTTATGATTTTTATATTTACATTTTCGTGGAACAGTTTAATTTAATTTATAATAAAGTATTTGTATCTCAAAATCATTATCATGTGGTTAACCAACATTCTAAAAGTAACTTCTATTGCCATTGCCAACTATGTAAAAACAGCCTACATAAAGCCAACAAATAAAAACATTGCAGCAGGCAGGTAGAAAATATCCTAATAAAAATAAATATCCTATAAATCACATTGGCAACGCATGGCCTGTCTGCAAGGAACCTGGAACATTGTATCAACTATTAACTTGGGTTATGTCTGAAGCTTGTGTTAGCAAACTTGCAACATTGTATAAAATATTCTGGGCCCTCAGAGTTTCCAGCTCCAAGTGAGCGCCGAACAGACACAGCTATAGGCTATTTGTACAAGGGATAAGAAGTAATCAGGTAGGCCTATTTTATTACATTTCCACCGGATCAGAACATGACATTTTTTTCCCCCTTTCACATTAAGTGGTTATCGAAAGAAGAGGTGGAAAGATTTTTCAAATAGGCTACGTTGAGGAACTATTTTCATTCTCAATGGATGTAAAAACAGACTAAGTTTACTTGCTGTTTGAGGTGATGAAACATTTACTTTGAGAAGTTCCACAGTGGTGGTGAGTTAAGACAATCAGAAATACTATCAGATCCCCAAATGGGCACATTTATAGGCCTACATTTGCGCGCAGGCCAGATACCCTAGGCCTACTTCTATGTATAATCAGGTTTGCGTCCTTACTCAACATTGACAGGAGCGCTACAAACGACAATGAATAAACTCCTAAATGGAATGAAATAAACCTAAACTTGTAGCTCACAAGTGTAGCCTAGGTTGTGCGGTCCGCAAACAACGTGTCCACTCCGACAATGAGAACATTAAAAGACTGTAATAATAATATATTGAATATTGAATTTAACAGAAATTACCGTAACCAAACAAACATTGTAGGTTAGAAATGATGGTAATTGAGGGTAAATGGACTACTGGTGATACTGGTGTGCCATCCCCGCGGCCTCCGCAATGGATTAGTCCACTGAGACGGGCGTGAATCAGACAGGTGTCTCATGTGCCATAAAAATTTTTATATATATTTTAGACTGTTCGACTAAAAAAATCTTGGTCGACCAACAGCCTATCGACCAAACAATCGACCAGTTGACTAAATGGGGTCAGCCCTAAAACAGCCACAACCTTCCCAAATTCCCTCGAGAGCCAGGTGCAAGGGGAGGGAAAAGGGGCCAATAAGTGACATCTTTCAGTCAAAGGTAGGTTAAAACAATGTAATTTTCACTAGACCTCATAATATTTTACCAGTTGGCCAACAGTGCTTCATAGGCCTACATGAATAGGCTACACCAACAAAATATTATGGTGACTTTGAGAGAACATTGAGTTTATCAAATCGCAACAAATACGACAACAAAACTTTTGATTCATGTGTTCATGTCTCCATTTACAGTGGTATAATCATTTCCGAATTTTTTTCGATGGTATCATATGCTTTTAAATAGCCCTTTCGGTTTGAACGGGAATACAGAGATGCCCGGTAATTTCTTGCAATTTTCTCTGGAAGGAAAATGTGTAGATTCTCAGGAAAATATTATACCCTGACACACGCATGCAAACACACGGTTACCTTGGCAACATAATATGTTATACAGGCTATCATGTGAAGGAGAGACTCTGAGGTGGTGGCTTGGCGTTTCTGTTTGACAACTCCTGAGATCTCTGTCAGCACTGCCAGGCACTTCATCAGCACCTGGAAGAGACATAAATGTTGTTTACACCCACATTTACAGGCACCTAAGATCAGCACAGCAGTGTGATAATCATAATAGTAAAGCAATAATTTACACACAATAGGCAACATTTTTCCAAAAACAATAACAGTTCACACATATCTAAGCCTAACCCCCTGGACTAAAAAGCATGCTCAATGGAGAATCTACATCGAAGGTGCTTTAGAAGTACACAAATAGGCTTAATCTGGGTCCAGGAAACAGGCCTTTGATACTTCACTGAGTCATTAAGAGTCAAGAGTCAATCAGGAGCGCAGTAGGTTGTACCTTACCTGTAAAACAGGCTCTGCTGGGATCTGGTGAAACATGAGCGGGGCCAGCAGGCCATAACACCCCACCACGGCCTGCAGGGCGGTGCTGCTGTCATTCAGCCACAGAGCCAGGTCTATGGCCACCAGCATCCGTTCACACTCTGCCAACCTGGCCTCCTGGAGGGGGTAAAAGTAAACACAGCTGCCATCATACCACCCTCTCTAACATCTCTCACTGTCATGCTTGCTTCTCACTCAGAGTCACATATATTACATTCTAAAAAATCGAAATACCACATGTGGTTCCCACGCTGGGACTCTTGGACTTTCTCTTTTTCTTATGACACACCAAGTAAAAGAAACAAATATTCTTACCCAGAGCCCAGTTTACAGCCATGACCCTAAAGGATCCATCCATTTAGGAAACACTGCCTTAGTGCACTTACCTGTCCCCAAATGAGTGGTCCCCTGTCACTGAGGGTGTCACAGAACAGCGCACCCTCCTGGATGTGGATCTCTGTCTGCATAAGGATGGAGGAGAGGAAGAGGTGGAGGAGGAGAGGAGAGGAGCGCTGCAGAGTCTCCAAACGCAGCCTGCAGAGGAGGAGGGAGAGAGAAGAGAGGGGGAGGGGGGGATGAGAAAAGGAGAAGGAAATCGAGTGAAAGAGGGGACAGATTAACAAGAGCCATGAAAGAAAGGAATGTGAGGGAATAAGTATCTCAAACAAACACATATCCTCAGTGTGTTGTCCTCACCCGGTCTGAGCTAGCCCGTCTAAAGTGGCCACTGGCTCCTGAAGACCTTTAGGCTGGGTGAAGTGGCTCCACAGCTCACTGCAGGCTCTCTTGGCTAGAGCATGTTGCCCTGTCTGGTACGCTGCCTGCATGGGACACAAAACAGACAGGGAGAGTGGGTTCTACAGTCACCAGATTATCCATACAGTAACCCACGCACACTCAATACATCCGTGACCTTATATAGGGCAGAATCCTAACGTGAGATGTGTGTGTAGCTATAACACAAACCTTCTCTCAAGTCTTTGATTGACAAACACAGCTACAGGATTTGAATATCATGTTACATGATAAATATGTGAGTGTGTATCTCGAGTTAGGATTCCTTCCTCAGTACCTGTGCCAGGTGTGCCCAGGTGGTGAGCAGCGGCAGAGGCAGGGAGGCCAGCAGCGGCCTGGTTGTCTCTCCAATGGCATTGCCCACCAGTTTACCCCCGGCGTCATAGGCTGCTACAGCAAACACATACTTCTGGTTCGGCTCCAAGCATTCCACTCGTAGCAGTCGCTCCCCTGATGCAGGAACCTGGGCAGAAACACAGGGACACAGAGTTTAAGAAAAGTCTAGCCGTTGAAATATAATGAAAATCTATTCATTCTATTTCTATGAAACTAGCTAGCCCAACCATGAGTGCAGATGTCTTGGGAATAATGACTGGGGGCCAATGTTCCCTCTAAGCTGTGCATGGGTGCGCAGCTCCCCTTGGACTACTGCACAGAATAAATATCAGCCCACGCAGAGAAGCACGAGCTTGAACTTCACTCAACTTTCTAGAGTTTTCCCCTTTAGTTAACACTATCAACGTTTAACTTTACTGTGGGAGTGTGCTCGAATCAACGCAATATTAGCCACTTTCAAAGTAATATATCGAAGCAAAATGAACTACGCAAGATTTAGTATGCTAAACTAACTGTGCAAGAGATTTTCTTGTAGGCAGAGCGAATTGGAGTAGGATTCTATTACATTGACATGCACGACTCAGGCCTTACTCTACACAGACCGGTGCGCCATAATATGAAAATAGCCATTGCCATATATGGATCTGCCATAACTTTGAACTGGACTATTTTTACAGCATGAGCGGTCGCGAATAGATGCGCTTGTTTTGAGATCAAAGCGAGAGCTGCATGTAGCCACCTGTGCACATTTGTTCATATTCTTTGCTAGTTATTGAGTTATTAGCCCAGTTATAGCTCATTTCTAGTCAACAATAGGGGAGCAGCTGCTTCCTACAAGAGCACAAAATGTGTACATTTCTAGCCATCTTTGAAAAGCAAGTCAGGTGAAGAGCTTTTTGTCTTAAAGGGGCAGGGTTGTATTTTGAGACAGTCTTGAATAAGCTACGAAGCCAATAGGCAGAGGGCAGCATAATTTGTCTGATTCTCTGTAATAATGGTATGGGAATAATAATTAATTGAATTTTGTAAGGTGGTTTCTTGCATCAAACAACAACATTTTCATGTCTGAAGGACAAGTGGATGTTTTTTTTTCTAAAGTCTCATGCAATGTAGGCCTATATTGAACACCACACATTTGCTGCTACTGTAGCATTGTTTTTGATGGTAGGGCACTCTGGTAGGCCTACATTATGATCAAATAGCCACAGTAGGCTACTTGGCCACTGTTAAAACTGTAACTTAAAGCGGGTACAGCCTCAGTGTTCACAGTAAACGAGGGCCAACATTTTTTACAAAGTTCAAGTTTGCGCTCAGCAGACCAAATATTTGCCCAGTGCCAAAAACACATTTCGGGAACATTGGTGGGGGCTGCATTGAAAGACAACAGAACTGTAATGCATACCTATGGCAATATAACATGTGTACCTGAAGAGGGCAGCAGACAAAGTGAGAACTTGCTGTGTAAAGTCGTCGTCAAAAGTTTTGAGAATGACACAAATATTAATTTTCACAAAGTCTGCTGCCTCAGTTTTTATGATGGCAATTTGCATATACTCCAGGATGTTATGAAGAGTGATCAGATTAATTGCAATTAATTGCAAAGTCCCTCTTTGCCATGAAAATGAACTTAATCCCCCCAAAAACATTTCCAGTGCATTTCAGCCCTGCCACAAAAGGACCAGCTGACATCATGTCAGTGATTCTCTCGTTAACACAGGTGAGTGTTGACGAGGACAAGGCTGGAGATCACTCTGTCATGCTGATTGAGTTAGAATAACAGACTGGAAGCTTTAAAAGGAGGGTGGTGCTTGAAATCATTGTTCTTCCTCTGTTAACCATGGTTACCTGCAAGGAAACACGTGCCGTCATCATTGCTTTGCACAAAAAGGGCTTCACAGGCAAGGATATTGCTGCTAGTAAGATTGCACCTAAATCAACCATTTATCGGATCATCAAGAACTTCAAGGAGAGAGGTTCAATTGTTATGAAGAAGGCGTCAGGGCGCCCAAGAATGTCCAGCAAGCGCCAGGACCGTCTCCTAAAGTTGATTCAGCTGCGGGATCGGGGCACCACCAGTGCAGAGCTTACTCAGGAATGGCAGCAGGCAGGTGTGAGTGCATCTGCACGCACAGTGAGAAGAATACTTTTGGAGGATGGCCTGGTGTCAAGAAGGGCAGCGAGGAAGGCACTTCTCTCCAGGAAAAACATCAGGGACAGACTGATATTCTGCAAAAGGTACAGGGATTGGACTGCTGAGGACTGGGGTAAAGTCATCTGATGAATCCCCTTTCCGATTGTTTGGGGCATCCGGAAAAAAGCTTGTCCGGAGAAGACAAGGTGAGCGCTACCATCAGTCCTGTGTCAGTAAAGCATCCTGAGACCATTCATGTGTGGGGTTGCTTCTCAGCCAAGGTAGTGGGCTCACTCACAATTTTGCCTAAGAACACAGCCATGAATAAAGAATGGTACCAACACATCCTCCGAGAGCAACTTCTCCCAACCATCCAAAAACAGTTTGGTGACGAACAATGCCTTTTCCAGCATGATGGAGCACCTTGCCATAAGGCAAAAGTGATAACTAAGTGGCTCGGGGAACAAAACATCGACATTTTGGGTCCATGGCCAGGAAACTCCCCAGACCTTAATCCCATTGAGAACTTGTGGTCAATCCTCAAGAGGCGGGTGGACAAACAAAAACCCACATATTCTGACAAACTCCAAGCATTGATTATGCAAGAACGGGCTGCCATCAGTCAGGATGTGGCCCAGAAGTTAATTGACAGCATGCCAGGGCGGATTACAGAGGTCTTGAAAAAGAAGGGTCAACACTGCAAATATTGACTCTCTGCATAAACTTTATGTAATTGTCAATAAAAGCCTTTGACACTTATGGAATGCTTGTAATTATACTTCAGTATACCATAGTAACATCTGACAAAAATATCTAAAAACACTGAAGCAGCATACTTTGTGAAGACCAATACTTGTGTCATTCTCAAAAATGTTGACCACGACTGTAGGTGTCAGTAGACATTATGTAGAGTAACCTACCTCGTCTCCAGTGCCCACCAGGTTGTTGTCTCCTAGTCTGACTTTCAGGTTGATTCCCTCAGCCTCACGTGCATAGATATGGTACCAGCACACCTGCACCACACCATGGAGAGACAACATGCTACTGTCTATATAATATGATCTATCATACTATCCTTACAGTAAAACACTATCATACTATCATATGAATCCCTGCTAAAATAAAAATACATAAATAATATCCTTATGCTAAAATAGCACCCACAAAGTCATACAGTATGTCATTCCTCCCAGCTACAGTATGAGAGTAGCATGAGAACATTACTGCCCCTACTTCAGACTGTACTTCGAGTGAGAGTTGCTCTGGATATGATCCTCATGATCCCAATCCTAATTATCACCATCCTCACACTGTAGTCTACACACTGATTGCTCTGGACAGGAGTATCTGCTTATTGTAGATGTCCTATCACCTGTTCCTCCAGGGCATAGGGTGCAGGAGTGAAGGTCATGGAGTGGTAGGTACGGGACAGGAGGATAGGAGAAGGAGGAGGTCTAGTGTTTCTCTTCTCCTCTCCTCCTCCCTCCTTCCTCTCCGACGAACCTGAGGAGCTGAACAGCTTCCTCTCCTCCACCTCTGCCTTCTCTATCAGGACAACAGCCTCCTGTGACCAACACAGGGAGAATACAGGGAATGGGTGAAAACCTCAATGGTGGGCAAAACTCAAATAAGGCTAGCACAACTAGCTATTTATTGTGTGTACCAGAGTTGCCCAACCCTGTTCCTGGAGAGCTACCCTCCTGTAGGTTTTTGCTCCAACCCTAGGTGTTACTAACCTGATTCATCTTATCAACCTGCTAATGATTAGAATAAGGTGTGCTAGATTAGGGTTGGAGCAAAAACCTACAGGACGGTAGCTCTCCAGGAACAGGGTTGGGCAGTCCTGGTGTATACCAATGAAAGGCATTAGTCATTCGCTTGTAATGTACATATCAACATGATGGACAAGCCAAGCGTTTTTATAGAATGGCATTTGGTATATTATGTGTCTCCAATCATAATGTGTCATATCAACAGTAAGATTCCAGTAAGACTAGCTGTCGCCATCGGCTAATGGGAATCCTAATAAATCAAATCAAAATCAACATGATATTCAATGGACATTTTCAGTGTCATTTTCTGTGTCTTTACCTCTAGCAGCCTCTTGGTGGCGCTGCTGTTCTGGTCCTTCTTGTGGGACAGCAGAGCCTTCTGGACCAGGAACAGAGCTATGGAGATCTTATTCTTTCTGATCCGCTCCAGAAGCACTGACTCTGTAGACAGATGTTTTAGGGACCACACAATCATTATCACAATAATTGGCAATATCTTCTGTTTATAACTAATTCATGATCTAAATACTGATTCATGAAGTAATCAAACTTGAGCACAATATCAGCTTGAAATACACAACTGCTTGTGTCAATGCTGAGAACCTCATGCAGCCATGTACAGTATGGAGTGCAGGGCCAGGGGTGAGGGCTCTGTCTCACCTCCTCTGGCTCTGTTAGCCATGGTTTCAGGTGTCTCCACACCACCAGGGGGCCTCATAGTTCTCCTACTGTCACCAGCATGCTGCTGCAGCTCAGCTAAGGGAAGGTACACAACACAGCATACAAAGGGGACGGTTCGAGGGGAAGAGAGGGAGGCAGATATGTGATGATGAGCACAACAATTACTATCAAGAAAAGGGGGATACAGGTTTGGTTTTGTGCAAGTTTCAATGATTATGAAATAGCGGATAATGTCTTGGAAAGCAGGAAATCCTGGTTAATCTGTGGGAAAAAATGACAGAAAAGAATTCTGGGATGTGTCTGGAGGCCTTGCTGACAGACCTGGGCAGGTGTTGAGCAGCTTGAGGGAGACTCTGTGCTGGACAGACAGCAGTTCCAGATGCAGGTCCATTGGGATCAGAGAGAGAGAGAGAGACAGGGAGGGCCTCTTCACCCTCTCTCCGTCCCCTCCTCCTGCAGGGGAACGCATGGCCAGCCCAGCAAACTTCTGTAAATAGAGAATGATGTGTGGTAAGAGACATGGGCCAAAATAGCTGTCACCTCAGAAGTGGTTGTGTAGAGTTACCTCTTTACAATGCAAAGCACTTTGAGACCTAGTGAAAGCACTAGTCTAGCAATGCAATAACACATGATTATCATTTCTATCAGGTAGTAGGGTGTCCACCCACTGTGCCCAGAGTGGGTGTAAACGCGCTTTAGTGATGACATTTATAACATATATTTTACCAAGGCAAATATGAGTATTCATGTTCTAAATCGTTCATTAACAGTATATCCAAAAAGTTGGATTTCGTTACCCAATACATCCGATAATAAATAATAATAATATAATAATATGCCATTTAGCAGACGCTTTTATCCAAAGCGACTTACAGTCATGCGTGCATACATTTTTTTTTTTTTTGTGTATGGCACCGAGCTCTGAGCTCTGTTGACAGCGCGGTGCATCTTTCTCGGCGCAACTTTTTAGGATTTTACATTGTGGTGGTTGTCTTCAAAGTTGTTTCTGCGTGTCGCAAAAAGCTAAAATAGCATGACATGAGCTGAATTAAATGTAAAAGGCTTTGAAAATAAAAAGCTTGCGGTACGCTCAGTGCTCCGCTGACATTTTACAGATGAATATGAAGCGCATACACTGAGTATACCAAATATTAGGAACATTTTCCTAATATTGAGTTGCACCCCACCCCTATTGCCCTCAGAACAGCCTCAATTCGTCAGGGAATGGACTCTACAAGGTGTCGAAAGCGTTCCACAGAGATGCTGGCCTAAGTTGACTCCAGTGCTTCCCACAGTTGTGTCAAGTGGGCAATGCAAATAGTCTGGGTAGCCATTTGATTAGATCAGTCCTTCTCAAATAGTGGGGCGCGCCCCCCTGGTGGGGCTCGGAGCAATGCCAGGGGGGGCGCGTGTGACCCCGTGGAACATGCTTTTTTTTACCACAGGGAGTAGTTTTTTTTTTGCATCGAACAAGAGCACACAGCACAGAACAGGAGATATGAAGTGCAGATGACAAACCCTTAAGAGACACCATGGAAAAATATTCAACAGGGATGAAAAGAAAGGCGGAGAGAGACGGAGATAATGAGACAAACGTAAGTCTCCCGAAAGCTAAGACGAGGAAATATGACGAAGCGTATGTAGCGCTTGGCTTCACTGTGACTACGGTGGGAGACGAGGAAAGACCGGTATGTTTACTGTGTCTAAAAATGTTGGCAGCAGACAGCATGAAGCCAAATAAATTAAGGCGTCACTTAAAGACGTTACACCCCAATCACGCTGATAAGCCGCTTGAGTTTTTTCAGCGAAAACGTGCCGAATATTGCCAACAATCGTCCCGCTTTGTGAATGCTACTTCAGTAAACCAGCGAGCTGTTAGCATCATATAAGGTGGCGTACCAAATTGCTCAGTGCAAAAAAAAACACTCCATAGCAGAGGAGCTGTTACTGCCTGCAGCATTAGACATGGTCTCTGTCATGCTGGATGACGCAAGTGCTGCAAAAATAAAAACTATCCCTCTGTCCAATGACATTGTCGCCAGACGTATAAATGACATTGCTAACGATCTTAAAGAACAGCTGGTAGATAAAATCAAAGACAAACGTTTTGCCTTACAGTTCGATGAAGCAACTGACAGCAACAAAGACTGTTTGTTTATCGCTTATGTACGTTTTGACATGACAAACTCCCTGTGTGAGGATCTACTTTTTTGTAAATATGTCAGAGACAGAGCCACAGCTGAAGAGCTATTCAAAATGCTGGACTGCTTCCTGACTGAGAATGGGCTAAAGTGGGAGAACTGCATTGGTGTTTGCAGTGATGGTGCACAGACCATGGCAGGGATGAGAAAAGGACTTCCGGCACTCATCAAGAAGGCCTCACCTAATGCTGAGTGGACACACTGTGTTATACACAGAGAAGCACTGGCATCAAGGCACCTTTCCTCTGAATTAAGTGAGGTTATGACTGACATTGTAGGTGTAGTCAATTTTATAAAGACCAGACCACTAAAAACAAGAGTCTTCTCTGCTATCTGTAAGGAGATGGGAGCTGAACATCAAGCTGTGCTGTTTCACAGTGAAGCAAGGTGGCTGTCACAAGGAAAAGTCTTGTCCCGAGTTTTTGAGCTCAGAGAGCAGATAAGAATGTTTTCGGAGCAGGAGCACAAGTATGACCTCGCAGAAATTTTTTGTGATGAGAACTTCCTGGCAAAACTGGCCTCCCTGAGTGACATATTTGGAAAGCTAAATGAACTAAATATACAGTTTCAAGGGAAAGATAAACACCTCCCTCAGGTCACAGACAAGATCAGCTCTTTCACTCGAAAGCTTGCAATGTGGGGCAGGCGACTTGATGAAGGAAATACTGATTCATTTGAGAACCTGCATGAATTTGTTGACACTACTGACTATGATGCCACCTCAGTGATTCCATATATTAAGGAGCATATTTCATCACTGATGGGATTCTTTAAAAAGTACTTCCCTGAAAACAGTTCCCAATATGACTGGGTGAGAGATCCTTTCAATGCACCAGCTCCAACTGGTTTCAGCTCTGCAGAGGAGGACCAGTTCATTGATATGACGTCTGACTCCACATTGAGACTGAGGTTCACATCACAGACACTGAGTGAATTGAGTGTAGAGAGGCAGTATCCACTCTTAGGGCAGAGGGCCATGGGCATTCTTCTTCCTTTTGCAAGATAAAACCTATTCCCCCTAAGGAGACTGAAAAGATTTGGCATGGGTCCTCAGATCCTCAAAAGGTTCCACAGCTGCACCATCAAGAGCATCCTGACTGGTTGCATCACTGCTCTGGTATGGCAACTGCTCAGCCTCCGACCGCAAGGCACTACAGAGGGTAGTGCGTACGGCCCAGGACATCACTAGGGCCAAGCTTTGTGCCATCCAGGACCTCAATACCAGGCGGTGTCAGAGGAAGGCCCTAAAAATTGTCAAAGACTCCAGCCACCCTAGTCATAGACTGTTCTCTTCTACCGCACTGCAAGCAGTACCGGAGTGCCAAGTCTAGGTCCAAGAGGCTTCTAAACAGCTTATACCCCCAAGCCATAAGACTCCTCAACATCTAATCCAGTGCTTCTCAATTATTTTCTGTTACGCCCCCCCTAGGAAGAAGTAAACATTTCGTGCCCCCCAACTCTCCGCCGCGACTGTAAATAGTATCATTTGTCTATAAAATTGTTATAAGTACACCTCTGCATAACATTGTATCCTTATTAACATTAAAGAAAACAAAAAAATCCAAAAATAAAGATCAACTTACAACAAAGAATAACTTTATTAACATTGTTTTTTAGCCTGTAACAGAAAATACATGCCAAATATTTTCAGTCTCCTTGGGGGGAATAGGTTTTGTCTTGCCCTCTTCACGACTGTCTTGGTGTGTTTGGACCATGTTAGTTTGTTGGTGATGTGGACAACAAGCAACTTAAACTATCAACCTGTTACACTACGGCCCTGTCGATGAGAATGGGGGCGTGCTCGGTCCTCTTCTTTTTCCTGTAGTCCACAATCATCTCCTTTGTCTTGATCACGTTGAGGGAGAGGTTGTTGTCCTGGCACCACACGGCCAGGTTTTTGACCTCCTCCCTATAGGCTGTCTCATCATTGTCAGTGATCAGGCCTACCACTGTTGTGTCGTCGGCAAACTTAATGATGGTGTTGGAGTCGTGCTTGGCTAAGCAGTCATGAGTGAACAGAGAGTAAAGGAGGGGACTGAGCACGCACCCCTGAGGGGCCCCAGTGTTGAGGATCAGCGTGGCGGATGTGTTGTTACCTACCCTTACCACCTGGGGCGGCCCATCAGGAAGTCCAGGATCCAGTTGCAGAGGGAGGTGTTTAGTCCCAGGGTCCTGAGCTTAGTGATGAGCTTTGAGGGCACTATGGTGTTGAACGATAGTGCCCTCAAAGTCAATGAATAGCATTCTCACATAGGTGTTCCTTTTGTCCAGGTGTGAAAGGCCAGTGTGGAGCGCAATAGAGATTGCATAATCTGTGGATCTGTTGGGGCGGTATGCAAATTGGAGTGGGTCTTGGGTTTCTGGGATAATGGTGTTGATGTGAGCCATGACCAGCCTTTCAAAGCACTTCATGGCTACATATGTGAGTGCTACGGGTCGGTAGTCATTTAGGCAGGTTACCTTAGTGTTCTTGGCACAGGGACTACGCTGGTCTGCTTGAAACATGTTGGTATTACAAACTCAGACAGGGAGAGGTTGAAAATGTCAGTGAAGACACTTGCCAGTTGGTCAGCACATGCTCGGAGTACACATCCTGGTAATCCGTCTGGCCCTGAGGCCTTGTGAATGTTGACCTGTTTAAAGGTCTTACTCACATCGGCTACGGAGAGCATGATCACACAGTCATCTGGAACAGCTGATGCTCTCATGCATGTTTCAGTGTTACTTGCCTCGAAGCGGGCATAGAAGTAATTTAGCTCATCTGGTAGGCTTGTGTCACTGGGCAGCTCGTGGCTGGAGGTGTGTTGGGTCATTGTCCTGTTGAAAAACAAATGATAGTCCCACTAAGCCCAAACCAGATGGGATGGTGTATCG